AGCAAGTGGTGAATTCCAAGCATATGTAGAAAGCGAAGGCCGAATTGTATAGGACAAGAGGCCATCCTGCTTTAGCCGAGCGTTTTATAAAAACGTTTAAAGACAAATTATGCAAAAGAGTTGAGAACGATGAAAAGAATAAACAAACGAATATACAATGGATAGACTACATAGATGAAAATGTGTTAACTTACAATAATAAAGATGTGCATTCCGCTACAGGTCAAAAGCCAGAGATACAGACAATGAATTCAAATCAAGAATAAACATTGCAATGAAAGCAAAGAAACAGAGGCTCTATCCTGAACTATTTGTGGGAGACAAAGTAAAAATCAAAAGGAAGAAAGCAACAACGGAGAAAGAGAGAACCTCACACTTTTTGAAAGGTGAGTATACCGTAGAGTCCATTGATGAAAAATTGAATCAAACATATTATACATTAGAAGGATACAATAGACCACTATTGAGGCATGAACTGCTGAACATAGAAATTACCATTTATAGGAAATCTACTTAAAGGAATATTATATCTATATATCTATATCTATACATATATATATATTAGCGACATGTCATTCAGTGATACAAGTAGTGAACGTGAAATCAATCAAGAAGAATACATCAAACAAAAAATCTTAAGCTGTAAATGTAGTGAATATGCAACAATAAAATGAATTATCAAAAATAATTTTACCGATGGTATTGGTAATAAAATTTGTGAATATGTAGCCTGTAAAAATTGCTCAAATATAATGAGTCATTTTGATTCAATTGAAATTGATATTAACCCTTGTGACGATGATGATATTGATGAACAAATTCAAATATACGTTTATAATACTTTAGTGACTGAAATTCCAGATGATAAAATGAATTTAGTATTAAATGAAAAAGAAATAAGACATTATCAAGATTATGGACAAGGATTGAAAACTGTTGCAACAATTCATATTCTACGGTCGCATTCTGCATGTTAGAAATGAATATTAATGATGCTGATTGTATGGATGATAACTTTAATCATGAAACCTTTATAGATTGCTTAAGAAAAATATTGTTGCATATCAAAGACAATGAACAGTTTATTGGAAATACAATTATTGACGAGAATAAGTTTGGCAAAGTGTATGAAAGAATACAACAATGAATTTATATTTGAACCCCACAAATTTTCATATCAGATAATATGTTTTTTTTAATGGCATAAGGAAGTACACTTAAAATTGAAAGGATAATACCTTATAATAGTATGGAGAGTAGAAAGTGCACAAAAATGGTGACGAGTTCAATGGAATGAATAGAATGTGTATTGAATGCTTGGACAAACAAAAGGAGAGTAACAAAGTATATAATCAAAAGGAAGAATTTTGCGACATTTGCCAACGGAATGTGAAACAATGCAGGTTGTCCAAACATCTTAAAACCGACAGGCATTCCAGCAAGGAAAAACTCAAAAAGGAAGAAGAGAAAAAACAAAAATATATGGAGGAATACTTAAAAAATGATGAAACCAGAATTGCAAAATTGAAACAAATCTGGAAAACCATTACACCAAAAAACTTTAAAAGACTTTAACCCCATAATTTTTCATATCATAATATATGAAAATTTATGATTCGAACATAGGAATGTTAGACGTGGATGATTTAGATTTATGATATTATTTTATAATAATATATTATGATAAAATATTTAGATGAAACTTTATGATATGAATTTATGTGATGATGGATGATGATGAAATGATGTGGGATGATGATGTATGAAATTATGTGGTCTTACTTTGTGTTGATACTGTGATGAAATGATATGAACTGTAGTGAAAATGAACTGTGGTAAATGATGAAATGATGGAGGTTGATGATATGACCTTAGGTGTGTTTGTGTCTAGCTATCTATATATATATATATATATATAATTTCTTTAATAACATACATATATGAAAACATTGGAACTATAACCACATGTATCATTCCTTTCGCCATGATGATCCGCAGGGACCCACAGAGCGAACCCCTTTAACACAAATGATTAATGACTTCTTTCTCACAACCCTTTAACACAGATGTTTGCCTGTTTGCCTAAGATTCCATATATTCCCCAGTGCCTGGATGAATAAAGGAAGGAGCCCTAAATTAGCATAAGACCTCACTTGAGATACTCAGACCTAAGAAAAATTAGGTCTGGGTAATATTGCTTACACTCCAATGGCTCTCCAGCCACTCAGCCACTCAGTCACTCAGAGTGGCTGAGTGGCTGAGTGGCTGCGTCAGCCGCTCTGCCAGAATGGCTGAGTGGCTGAGTGGCTGCGGCAGAGTGGCTGGAGCAGCCACTCAGCCACTCAGCCACTCTGAATGACTGAGTGGCTGAGTGGCTGCTCCAGCCAATCTGCCACTCTGCCAGAGTGGCTAGACCAGCCACTCAGCCAGAGAGGCTGGACCAGCCACTCAGCCACTCAGCCACTCAGCCACTCAGTCACTCAGAGTGGCTGAGTGGGTGAGTGGCTGCGTCAGCCGCTCTGCCAGAGTGGCTGAGTGGCTGAGTGGCTGCTTCGATTTCGCGAGCCGTGTTGCACATCCACCCTGAAGTCTTGCCACTTGCTAAGATCTCCTTCATGATTTTCAGAACCAAACGGGTCAGGTTGCCTAATGACTGTTGAGGCTTCACTGAACCCCTTTCCACTCAAACCAGTTCCACGACTAGCCTGGGCCTCTCTCAAGACGCGCAGCATCAGTTGCTGCTTGTATCAACTGGGACATGTCCAACGCGCCACCATCAGCGGCCATGCTCCAAGCAAAACTAAGACAACGAAATCCCAAATGGCTCCACTTAACGGCAACGAAAGTTTCCTAGAGTCCAAGTTAGCTTCAGGTGCCCTCACCAGAATAAAGGATCTGGATCACAGGGCTCCGCTACCATGAGCATTTTCCTTGATGCAAAGACGCCTGAAGAATCCATCTGTTTCACAACGGCTTTAAACATGCTATGCAGCTGAAAGTAAAATGTCATCTGACATGAATCAACTGCAATGCAACTGTACGTGTAACTGAAACAGGCAGGTATGGGAACCATGTAATTCCCTTCAGTTTTAAAATTTATTTGCAGTATTTTTTTCTAGCACAGTGTTTGATATACTTTCTCGTCCGCCAGGGAAACACAGGTGAATTTTGATATGCGAGGGTGAAAACCATGCACATGTACAGGTACGGTCTCGCACATGCATTTGTTTGCAAAAACAGAATCAACGATACATCCCACGGCTCTTAATCCAAAACTATAAACAACACCACCTTCTTCACGTGTGCTTGCTTCAGCATGTTCCGCAATCAGTGTGAACATGAGATCAACACGGCATCTTGTGAAACTAAATGAATCTACCTCGATTCTTCGTTTTTAGTTTGCAGGCATTTGCAGGCCATGATGAAATCGGATAGATATGAAGCATGCTGACAATAAGACCAATGATTGCAAGTGGGGCTAACTGGAACATACCAGTGGTATGCCTATATTGCTGTCGGGCTGCATTGGGTGACCTATTAAAGCTCCCAGACGGGGATTGTAATTACCATACTTATCTGCCGACGTTTTCAGTGTATGTCATTTGTATTCATTTGTTATTTTCATTACAACCGTGATGGGTGCCCACTGGTTCCTCGCCAGAACCCTGGTTCCAATGGTTCCAGGAACCAAAGCCTAGTTACCTATGAGAGAGGTACCTAGGAGGGCCTGGGTTTGGTTTTAAAGACCCTTTTCCGGCGGCCATTCAACGTGCAATTGTGTCTTGGACCGGTGCAAGTCATCAAATGCCTATGAAATTTTGGTTGTCGGGTGTGAATATAAACAAATGCGGTATGAGGACCAATGCCACCGGCAAGAGCGAAACCAAAAAAAATAAAAAAATCAAGTGACGCAATCCCCAGAAACAAATGGCGACAATTAACATCAATTAACAATGTAATTTCAAGGATGCCAGCGAGAGCTCGGAGGCTGCATGAGGCTGCCTCCAGCATGGCGTGTGGCTTATAAATTTGATCAAATTTGGTGATATCAATGACATCACTGCGAAAACAGTTCTGCTATGTTCTGCTACTATGTTTGGTCATTAATTAATATTAATTTGTATACCTTTTCTTACTTCAAATGAGTTTGTGTTTCGGGTTTCCAATCGGTATTCGCCGGACAAAAGCTAGCTACCCCAACTTGTGACCCATATATAACCACTTTTAGAAGGCATTGGCCAGCAGAAATTGTCTGGACCAAGATTCCGAACGTCCACGTAGAACACATACACATACACGTATATATACACAATTTTTGTTGATCCACGTTTACAGTTTACAGTGTTTGGGGATACAAGTTGACGTGTTCTGTAAACAGGTTGCTTACATGCATTCTTTGCTTTGTTTATTGGCTTTTAAGGTGCGGGCGATGTGTCTCAACAATTTTCTACAATTTTTTTGCGCCGCCCGTTGGTTCAAGACGTTATTTACTTGGATTCCCACAATCGAAACCAGAACCAGCAGTTTGTGAGACCTTTCTTCGATGACATGGTTGATGATCAACAAATAGGACACACACAAATTTTCACATGACGTGATTAAGAAAACGGATGGAAACGGCCAGCAGCAGCCTTTGAGAAAACAAACCAGACACACCTCCCTACTATTCAAAAATATTTTTGTGCAGACGGGGCTTCCTTTGGACAGACGGGTTCCCTGCGCCGACAGCCGGTACCAACCATGGTTGGGGGCCCAGTTGATCACCGGTGTTGAAACCCAATGATGAAGGTCCAAAACAACTTGACAGATGGAATCAGACTGCCCACTTATATTTTTTTGTGCATGTTGACGTATAATTACCAAAATTAGTTGAAGTGACAATGTACAAGAAACATTTGCAATGCACCTATATTTGACAGTAAAGTATGGTAAGAAACCCATAGGTTCCTGGATTGTTGAACCAACCCGTGGAATGCAAATTCCAGGCTGACCAATCGAAAATGTACCGCTGGGATGGTTCCTTCGACTTCAAGCGGAGGGAAGATTGGGATTACAAGTCCGAAACTCATGGGCTGCTGGTAGGGTCGGCAAGTTGGAGAAATGCCTGATGTTTTGACATGGCCAATATTGGGAACGTTGGGATCGCCCATTTCTAGAGCAGCTATGTTTCGCTAGGCCAGAGTTGCATTCGGTTGCATACCATGGCGTTTTTGTTGTTTGTGTTGGTCCATGTTGGTCCATCCATGTCCATCCGTCACCGGAGGCTGAGCCATGCTGAGGCATTCCTTCAATTTCATGGCGGGATGGCTTGGACAAGACGAAACCAAAGAAGCGCAGAGACGGAAAAAAAAGTCCAGGCCTTGGAGAAATGAAAATGCTGGGCCCCAGATAAACCCATAGGGAGAGCCATCAAAAAAAATACTGGGAAACTAGATATTTCCGGGATCGTTTTTCTTAATTTCGATTTGTGGTATTTATTAATTTGATTTTAATTTGATGCTATTTGGAGGTTGCTGTAATGTGAGATAGTATGAGTTGATTTGAGTGATCTGAGCTGCAGACGTCTTTTGAAAACTAAGCACGGGTTGGTTTCCTCCCTGGTTTCGACGCAATCACAATAAGTTCTGCTGTCAGCGCGGATGTGAATTCCACGTTCATTTCTTGTTGCAGTGGTCAGCCGCGGTGACGCACACATTGACTCGCAGTCTTCTTCGTCTCACTTGACTTTCGATATGGATTATGCATATTTAATATAATATATTATAATTATTTGTAATGAATTGTTTTTCTGAACAACAGTGAGACATTGTGTTCAAATGCAGATGTCAATTGCAAGTCAGAAACCATATCAGGGCAAATGTCGCCAGTCAATATGTCAGAATTGTGTCAGTGCACATGTCAGTCAGTGTGTCAGAATACGCTTCAGTATCTGTGCCAGTCAATATATCGGACCGTTAGTCAATACATTTACCAGTCAATATGCCTCGGCAAAGATCAGTTTGCATGTCAGCACATTTGCCAAAGTTTTTATGCGGCGGGACCCTCTTGAACGGGTGATTTTTTTTCTTGTGTGGTTTCTTTTTTTTTTGTGAGAATTCAGGAACAACAGCCAGATTTCAAGAAGAAGGAAGGGCAGGGGAAGAAGAGGTAGAGAGCGGAGGGAAGAAAGGAAAAAAAACGAAAAGACACGAGGATCATGAAAGAAAGAGGGAATTGCTGCGACACTGCTGCAGCCTCCGTCAACAGCAACAAGTGTTTTTCCCCTGGGCTGCCGCTGCCATCACTTCAACAGTTGTGCCCAGACAACAGCTACCACCACCACCACCACAACTACAAGACCAGGACTTAGCAAAAACAGAAGGAACAAAAAGCGGCACTTATGAATCACACAAAAACAACCCCTAGACCGGAAACTTCGACAAACGCAAAAACAAATCGTTTGAAACAGATATGTTTGATAGGAAGGCATGGGCAGAGATGGCTGGTTTGTATACATGATGCAACAGAATTTAGGATTTTCATTGCCACGTTCAATTGCTGGGGGGTATTCACAGTTTCAACATGCCTTTTTTAATTCCGTGATTGGTGAATATGGGCCGGGTGCCATTCTAGTTTTTTCCCCTTTTTGTCGACCGCTAGAAATGCATCACTTGGCTGCCTTTTTCAATGATAATCCCCATGGGTAGTGCAACTACAACTATAATTTGGATACTTTGTGGAGGCATCCTGCTTGTCCTGCCCAAAAATAAAGCGTCATTTTGGGCAAGCTGTGTTGCGCAGCAAGAGCCCCATTGCCGGGATCTAAAATGGGGCACCATTGCCCTTGGCAATGAAACTATGTGCCTTTGGAAAAAGGTGACCTGACAAAGAACTTGTTTACAAAGCAGAGTTGGCTAACAAGGTAGGATCCCAGAAGAATCAGCTAGCTTGGCAACCCATGTCTTTTCCCTCCTAACTCAGAGATGCCGAGGGATTTGTAAGAGAGATCAAGAGAGGGCCAGGGCCCCTTAGTGAACCATGAGTCAATTGCTCCTGTCAAACCAGCGGCTTTTTTTCATTCTGAGGATGGGAACGGTTGATGAACAAGCGCCTCCGCTTCCAAAGGCGCATGTGTTTTTTTTTTGTGAGCCATGGGTTGGGATGGTTGGGTATCAGTGGTAGAAATCCCAGAATTCTGATATTGGGTAGATGTGGGTAGTATTGTGGTTAAGCAAGACGGTGCCAATTCAACCGGTCACTCAACGCTTCTTGAAGGACGACAGCTTGGTCGAAACGATCGAAAAGACGGCGAAACATGTGCACAAGTCCATGCCTCAGAATCAGGGCATCCCAAGGTAAAAACTTCCCTGTGTTCATTTGAAGTGATGTGTTGCGGACCATGGAGAAGAATGGAGAAGATACAGACGGTAAGTATGGTGCCTCATGCAACTACAACTGTCCTGCCACTGCTAGATGAAGTTGTGTTTGTCATAATTATTTGACGCGTCAGAATGACATTGCCAGGCGGTTGCTATCACTGCATTTGGGTTTGACACTCTTGTTGGTGACACTCTATTAGAACATAGGTTGACTGCTAGCGATTAACCAGGTGGCAATCCCATGTTCTGCGCACACACGTGCCGCCATGTAAACGATCTGAATTCAGGATAGATTGTGATCTTCCCATGCTGCCTATGACACGACCAGGTCGAACGATCCAACGGTTTTCGAGCACTTGGTGCAGGCAACCAGCAACAAACGGCAGATCCTGCATCCCTAGAGGGTAAATTGAGCCATCATGATCCATCAGAAATATAACTGGTTTATTGGGGACTGGGGATTATTGATTATCGGCAATTTACTATTATTATACTAGAATGGGATGGGATACGGGTATCTGTCAATATTTTGTTTTATGGTTCAGTTGGTGACCAGCCAGTTTGCGTGGCACCATCAGGAGAAGAACAAGGGCAGATCCAGATGGGACTTCCTTCGAGAAGGTGGTGAAGGCATGATCTAATCTGGCCGCGACTGGATTAGTTTGGAGCCAGTTGGACTTCTCACATTGTCTTACAGTCACTTGGATCGTCAAGGTCAGTTACTTGGAAGATACTATAGGATCGTCAAGGTCAGCTATATAATATATACATCAAGGATCGTCAAGGTCAGCTATATAATATATACATCAAGGATCGTCAAGGTCAGTTACTTGGAATGGCATATAGCCGGATCATTACGGGAACTATACAGACCACCTGAAATCAGCAGGCCATTCAAATTGGAAGGGTTGCTGCTTTGGAGGTCGTGACTACTACCTTTTCTGCCGGCACTGTTGTGAACGCGAGGCTGGCACTGGTCAGATTGTGCACATGTCATCATGTCGTTCTTGTTGACCGGCTCTCTTTGTGGGAGGTTGATCCCAGACCGATGGCATTACATGCCCGAAAAGTGAAAGAAGACCGGGAATTGAAGCAGGCCAGAGTTTTGCCACAAGTCATATCGTTTTTGGATCTTTTTTGGGAATGTATATTGTATATGTAAATAGAAGTTTGGTGGCAAGAAGGATACGATCAAATACTATGCAACGCGACAAACGTGAGTAGAATCAAACGGGTTTACTGCAAACCCGCTGAGATGATCTGAGGGTTTGGGATAGGGATGCTGACCTCTGCAAGGCAAATGCGAAAGCCAACGTTTTCACTGGGTATCAAGGCGGATCGTTTGGTTTTGGCCCTGTTTGGCCAACGAAATCCTGCGATAGAGATGTGTTTGCACATGTTTGCATTAATGGCACAAACAGATCAGAAATGAAAGTGACCCTCGCAGGATAGGAAGACTCACCTTGTTTCTAGCTTTCACCTGCCTGGGACAGTTACACGATTACACTTTCGTACTTGCAGCATCTTGCAGCCATTGCTTTGCGCTAAAATCAAGATACCCCAGGACCCTAGAGACATTTCAAGCTCGTGACAGCAGCGGAGCACGGGAGGGATGATGTGCAACGATACGCACCAACTGCCTTTGTTCTGTTTCAACCAAATGACCAGATACTCAGACAACTCAGATCCCCTGAGCAGTCTTAAAAACCGCAAGGTTTACAGTACCATCTCCGACCATATCCAGAGGTTCACAGATGTTCACAGCACTTTCCAGTCATCTTAATCATCTTCACTTTGAATTTCTTCATCATCCCATGGTCATTTCATCCCATTTTTCCCATGGTGGAGCCCCCATCCCCCGGTGGTGCCACCGGTGCCGGTCACCGCGGCGCCTACTTCGCCGCGCTGCTGGCGTCGAGCGACGCCCTGCGGCTGACCTCGGGCACCGAGGGCCTGGGCCTGGCGCTGCGCCGCGCCGCGTCGACGGCGGAGGAGATCTACCGGGGCCGGGCGCTGGCGGTGCATCGCCATGACGCCAGGTGTGAGGAGGTGGAGGCCATCTGCAAGGCACTGAAGTAAACAACCAGGGCTTGATTACTGCTTGATATAGATCTGGATGGTTCATTCATGGTTCATTCTAATGTCAATTAATGTCATTTTAATTTAATAGTTCACTTTTTTTTGAAGCTGAAAGTGAATGAACGTGTTCTTTCGGAGATGTATTGGATGAAATTTCATGTTTGTTCGGGGATGGGGGTGTGATTGAATGGGATGCAGGTTGGATTTGTAAGATGTGAAGCAGATGCAATCCTTACAATGTCAAAGAATGTCAAAGAATCAGTGTGAAACAGAAGGGAGGAGACCTCATGGGTACACCCTGATGCGAGGCACGTCCATGTTTTCTTCCACCCTCTTGCTACTGCGCTGCTCTGAGCTCGTTGCTGCAAAGCACGGCCGAAAGTGACCTCCTGCACAGCCTGCTGTCGCTGTCCAAACCTGATCGCATTGCCCGGCGGGCGCCGGGAATCAGCAGTGGCGACACTGGTCCATGTGACATCACTGCGCGAGAGATACTGCGACAGTCGCTGGTTGGTGGTAGTGTCATTTTTTCTAAACTTCCATCCCTAGTTATTACAGGGAAACATGGAGCAAAATGGTGCCAGTTGATCATTTTTCTGGGAGATGGGTTGAAACGTGTGAAAACCAGCACCCAGGTCAGATCTGGCAGAAGACCTACTTCCACTCTACAGCGACCTGGCGCGAATCTGGAAATACAACGCCTTTGATACTGGAGATGGACGAATGGCCATCTTTCTTCTGCCCTCCTTGTGCAATCATAGCTGTTTGCCCGCTGCGGAGTACACCTTGTGTGACTTCCTTCGCAGTTTCCAACGCATCTTTTGACCTATCCATGTTTTTGAACGTTCAGTCACCCCGTGGGATCACTTCAAGATTTCGATGGAAAATTGCCCTCGCATGAACAATCATTATTAATGGTCTTCATTTGTAGGGGATGAGCCTCAACCCGCCAATGGCAGGCGATGATGATGGCACTGTAGAAATGCTTCTCTTTTCCTTGCGCGACTTGGAAGCTGGAGATCCGCTGACCATTTGTTACATCGAGAACAACGAGAAGCACCGGAGCAGTCGCATGGCACGAAGGAACACCCTGGCGGAAGGCTGGCTGTTTTACTGTACCTGCTGCAGTTGTTCACAGGAGCCCTTGAGATGTCAGAGTTGTTATCAAGAGATGGAACTGTGGATCAGCAACATCCATGGAGGGCCTTATGAAGACTCGGAGGAGGCTCCAACATGCGATGTTTGTGGCTTGGAAGATCTGGTGGTTTCAGGACCTTACTTTTTTCATTGTGGATCTTGTGAAGTTGACGTCTGCGAGAAGTGTGCAGATATGGAACTTGGAAAGCTGCAATCCGAGACCTGATGCTCCAGCAGGTTTTGCCAAACTGCTGTGTCGCCCGTTGTGCTGGATGTCCTTAGCCCGGACAAGAGGCAAGATTCTCCTTGAGGTTTTGCAGGAGAACCATGGAGAACCTGGTGGAGAGGGTGAAACTTTGGCCTGCCAAGACCGGCTTCTTGGGCAATGTTTGGTGAGCTCATTTCTGGCTGCATATCATTGAGCAACTGCTGTGGGCTAAGATGGTCCAAAAAATCCAGAAATTGAGCAGCGAGGGACGTTTAAAGGCCAGCAGCCAACAGTCACCAGGTCCCCAGGGGTTTGCACTCTGGGGTGCAAGTCAAGGGTCGTCTGCTGCCACTTCAGAGGCTTCCAAAAGGATGTCGCTTTTGAGTTCAGAGCGCTTGACGTGCCCGTGGTGTACGATTTGAATGAATGGAAAATGACAGTGTGCGCCGGCGGTTGTCCGGCAAAATGTCGGTCAATGGTGTGGGTTCACATTTTTCATCCTTTTCTAGTGAGATTGCCGCCCACTTAGTCACTTCCTCAAAACCGGGAGGAACAGAAGTGCCCAAAAAGACTGAGAAAGACGCCAAATTCCAAAATGGCGAGTGGGGACCCCCAGAGAGTTATGCTTACTTTATGCATCTTTATGCTGTTTCTTTAAAGGATCATGAGCTGACTTGAATGCCTTGAGTTCTAGTGTATTCGCCCTGACCCTCCAAGGTTGATGGAAGTAGTTGGCGTCAAAAGCAAGCCTGACTACAACGGCCCAAAGCTCAGTATTCAACGCTGAGCCCAAAGCAAACTTGGCTTGACCTTGATACACAGGCAAAATCGTGCGCGTCTTGAAGTTTCATCCAGAGGTGCGAGTGGACACTTGAGCAGGTAGGGGAGACCAATGTCCACCACTGTCAAACATCACACATGTTCAATCCCTTTCAAAGCTTTTGAAGAAAAGGAAATTAAGCTCCAGAATATGCATCTTGGAGTAAAGAGGCTGTCCCCCAGTCCGAGTGTGTGTGGTGCATTCCCCCTGACTCGTGACACACACACACACAGACACACACACACATATATATATATACACATTATGCAATTATATGTTATATATATATATATAATATAATATGTATTATATGTATTCATAAGGTATCAGCATGTCCCAAGTCTAGTAACAACATGGATGGAATACGTTTTACTTGCTGTTCATTCATTTGCATTTTACTATTTGGTTTATGGCTTATGGCCACTACATCTCACCATTGGCGAGGCCGACAGGTACGAGGTGAAGTTCGAAGGCGGCCGCTACGACACGGTGGCCTGGGCCTTGACGCCCTTGGATGGGGCACGGTGCATTTCCCCATGCAAATCTAGGGCGTATCTACCTTCCCCTGGAGAGTGGCTGCTTGAATCCCGCACCACGAAGTGATGAGGTGGTGAAGTTGAAGGAGGAGAATCTCATGTACTCGGCCATGCGAGAGAAGGAGGTCAAAGAGCAGAAGGCGCATGCTGCGCTGTCCAAAATTCTGATTTTGGTTGGGGGGAGCAGATGTTATAGATTGTTATAGCATGTTAGTTGTAGCCTCAAAAAAACAGGCTCAGAGAGGGTGGGGGCGCTGGGTCCTGGACACATGCTCGACTTCGGGGCATCCTTTTTGGATCATGTTCCAGTTGGTTGAGCCAGGAGATGCCCGAGGGGGAAATTCCCAATGGAACGAAGGTGGACATCAACGGCCTCCAAAGCGATGCAGCCAAGTGGATGAACGGCCAAAAGGACGGGCGGTGGTTATGGTTTTGTCTGAAAATAGGGTAATTACCTGCCTGAAAACCCAATTGATTAAAGTTTACTAAAGTATCATTAAAGTTTGTTAAAGTGGCCATTTATAGGTATTCTCCATTTTCAGAGACATTCAGATGTTATAAGATGTCACACGGGTTGATTGGCTCAGCAATGGTGAGGATATTTCATGATATTTTCACTGACAACATCTGGCAGCCAATGCTATAGTGACTGTAGTGCTACCCTCTGGTAATTTAACATAGCTATTGAAAATGGCCATTTATAGTGAGTTTTCCCATTTAAAATGGTGATTTTCCATAGGCCATAGTTATGTTAGTTTACCAGAGGGTACATGGATGTCATAGAATCATCAACAAGGAATCATGGGGACATGGTACCTTTTTTCCAGCAAACATTCAGTGAAATCATTGGTCAAATTTGAATCCATGACTCTGGGACTGGAATTTGGGGAACACCTATGAGGATGTCCAATGTTTGCCAGTATTTTAAAAAAAGGAAACAATGTCTCCTAATGTTGGCAATTAGAGTTTTCAACCTGATGTTTTTCTCCCACAATAGTGCCATGACGTCTTCAAGAGCTCGTTTCTCGGAGCCAGGCCATTGTCGTGTGTTGGGACAAGGATACGGAGCGCTACGAGGCCCGTGTGGCTTGCAATGTGATCGGTTTGGATATTTAGTGCAGTTCACAAGTTTTGACATGCAGATTATCATGTATTTTCACAGGCTGTTAGAATCAAGATCTGCGGGATGAGTATGATGTTAAGCTTGCTACGATGAGAAATATGAGAAGCCAACATAAGCCAACTGTTCCTTCCTGTGCCTCATCCTGGGTCATTTGTGACTATAGATCTCCATGTGGGCCAGGTTCGTTTGAACATCAACAACGACATCAAGAAGGCACCTGGCGGCCGCCGTTCTGGGACACCGTCCGACACCCAGCGCGCTAGGTGAAGGCTGGAAATCTACGGCTGGAAGTTCCTGAAGGATGGGAGGCCACCAAAATTTGATGTTAGGAACTTGGGGACCCAAAGTATCAACTGCGCACTGTCATAGGGGAAATCATGCCCAGTTCACCATCATTTGATCTAGATGGTTTCCGCCACCTTGCCAGGAACATTGGGATGAGCACTTAGGCGCATCACCTTCAGTGTCGCAGAAGTGGTTGAATGGAACATAATGGAACAATCATGAAAAATTACAGGGGAGCCGGGCAATGCCAAAACCATGGTGTCCTCTGACTTTTCCGCCAAACATCGGCCCGAACCCAGCATACCCAGCGGTCCACCAGGTCGGCACTACTACGTCAATAAGGCGACACAGAAGGTGACATGGAAACATCCCACCGTGACAAATCAGCGAGGAAAGTTTGGACAGGCCGGTCGTGCTGGCAGATGCTGTAGCTTCCTGTGGTTGAACCCAATTTTCTGCAAATTTCGGCATGGCTGATGAAGTGTCAAACAATGGAAGGGGGACATGCCCTGACACAAAAAACCTTATGTTTTTGCGGCAGCTGCCTGAGTAGCACGAAACATAAGTCGAACAAATCTAAATCTTTGGATAGACAGGATGTTTTCTGATCTTAATGATCCGCCGCAAGCAGCCTGTCATTCCTCATATTCCTCTGACCTTGGTCAGGTCAGGGAGAAACTGGACCAAGACCTTGAGGAAGTGGAAATCGATCACGAGCGAAAACACTACGAGGCCGGGACATGCCACGACTGTGGCAGCTGCTGTGGTTCGGTGCTGGCAGGTGGATGATCAAGAAGAGATGGAGGGTCAGTTCAACCTGCAAGCTTTGGTGAAAAAAGTGGAGGAGCTACTGCACCTGTTCTTGCTGGGTAATGGGGTGGGGATGGGGTGGGGATGGGGTGAGGAAAACCTCCAGTTGATTTGTGTTGATTTGAATTGGGACTCATGGGAAGGAGCAAGAGGAAAGAAGAGAGAAAGCCGAAGAAGCAGGCCCAACGTTCCGTATTTTTGGAAGCCAAGTTGCAGCATACATCCCGTGCATCAGTACGCTCAATCTGCCTTAACGTACTGTAATCAAGTGGTCTCCAAATCGATAGAGAACTCTATTTCCCATTATATAAGTATATATAGAGGTTATCTATATATATATACACATATTATATACATATATGTTGGGTTCACTTCCTATTCATGGTGCATTTTCAAACTTTCATGGTCATTTCAGTGCTTGGTACTTCTCCAAAAGGTGAAGATGTTGATAGTGATGATGGGCTGCATGACATCGTGAAGCCCAAGAAAAAGAAGCCTAAGAAGGAGAAGGCTGGGAAAAATCCATCGATGGTTGGTGACTTCACCACTTCACCACCAGAAATGGTGATTTGACCAGCAACAATTGGGATTTAACCAGCGACAATGGGATTATCATGGGCATGATGGATTTTTTTTTTTTTAATGGGAATATCATTGGATCAAAGGTTGGCAGCAGTTTCGAATGCTGAACAATGGTTTCCCAGACTTGGATCAAGGGGACAAAAAAAGGGAACGCTCTGATCGATTTTTCCTTCACCAATCCATGATTGCCATGCTTGACGCTGAGCTTTTCCTTGATTCGTTGAGATAGTAATGATTGGAGAGGGATAAATCCACACGCGCATGGCCATGTTAGTTTACCGGAGGGCAAATCTATCTATATAGATAATTATAGATATTGATATAGATTATCAATGGGAATTTCAATATCCTGAAATGGAGGTACTTTACTATACCATATTGTACCATATAAGGCCATATTTTGTGGGGATATTGACATAGGCCTTACATAGACCTGACATGGGTCAGTACCTCTGATTTAGTTACCTGATATATTCATCGAGATTATGTGTACCATGTTATCCTGTTACATAGTCAATATATATATACCCTCTGGTAAATAAACATAGACCCTGAAAATCACCAATTGTTATATAATGGAAACTAGTCTTCCAACCCCTATCTGCCAGGGTCTATGTTTATTTACCAGAGGGTATATCAGTTCTGACTTGTTGTTCTGTTTCAAGTTCAATTGAAATGGATGAAGGGTCATGCCGGCCAGGTTTCTCCCGAATCCATTGTGGAGAAGGTCCATCTGCATGCAGCACAGCCCATGGCTTGAGGGGATAAAACAATTTTTGTGACTGGAATAATCATGGCCTCTTAGAAGTCAGAACTTAAGCTCTTTTCAGCTAGAAGAAGGCTTCAACAGCAAAAATCTGAGTGTCAAGACATCAGACACTCACTCATTTGTGGCACCTGTGGTGTCAGGTTCTCCTGTTGATCGAGCACACCTTTGTAGCTCGAGAATCAATGAAGAAGGACGTCAGTGGCATGGCCCATGGCATCCGCATCCCATGGCCCAAAAATAGTGGTGCCACCTTAGTCCTGCCAGGACTACTCACTTCTGGATGGAAATTTTGTGGCCAGGGATATGGATCCAATCATCAAGAAATGGGAGGCGGGTCGCTTTCATTCGTTCAGAGGTCATCTGCTGACAGCGGCTTCAGCTGGCTGATTTTCAGGATCCGTGGCTCAGGTTGTTGGCGAAATCTAAATTTTGTTGGCGTGATACCACTGGTGTGATAGCCACTGATTGTTTTTGACATCTAGCAACCATTAGCAACCCACTGATTGTTGAATAATATCAGTTGTGTTCGTCCCAATCTTGGTGAATTTGTTTAACCCAAACCTGAATTGTTTAATCTTCGTGGGAAGATATCCCCCTTTTGTATCTTTTTGTGGGGCACAACTGCCACAGCATCGACAACACCATCGGCCGTCCTGCCGTCCTTCCAGCTGCACTTTTTTTGAAGGCCTTGGAACGTGTCTCGGAGGCTGACGACGCATTGTCCTAGCCTTGGGAGGATTTCATTACTGATGGAAATAGACATAGCATGAAATACATTGAAATACAGTAGACTCAGTAGATAGATAAGTATATGATGAGAGGATGCATACCCAAACATGCTCCCACATGAATAAGACATCACAAAACAGCTGGATGGATCTATCTATACGTAGTGTATCATTTATGTGACCAAGAAGTGTTTGCCATGGAGGTCATCATGGTCGTCAGTTTCAAACGATGCGGGAGCTGCGACATAGCACTACTGCACCCACAACTGAGGTGCAAGGAGACGTTTGAAGTGATGTTAGCTCTAATACAGCGAGGAGCAGAGCTACTTAAAGAGTTGGTGCCTGAGCACGCAGCTGGGTATGGTCAAAACATGTCAAAACATGTCAAAACTAACTAATATGTTGACCTTCAATTGCAATTTTCGTCAAGTGCAGTTAAGACAGATCAACATGGAATTTCCCGGATCATTTCAACAAATTTTGGCTTTTGAAACGACTCTGAAACGCCTTGCCGTGTTTCGAGACTGACAAGGGGAGCACCAAGGTTGTCTCAGAATCGCTTGCAACTTTCCGAACTGAACAAGGCGCTGCTTGTGTGCTGTTGGCTGGTGGTGTTTGCCTTTGTACCCTTGGGTATGCCCCGCAGTTGGGCGCCCTCAAAGTGTTGGAATCATGGAATCTATTGGATTCCCCAACCAAGCATAACCAAGCTAGATTAGATCATGTATAGGCATCGTTGCTAGGTCCCTTTGGAGGAAAGGGGAATAAACCCTCACTGGATTGGTTTTTCAGGAAACCATGCATTTTCCCATAAAACATGGGGATTTCCTGTACATTGTCCCTTACACGATTCCAGATATTCCAGGCTCGCAAGTGAAAAACGCCTGTGCAGGTGGTGAATCGTGTCACCACGCGCCGGGCTCAGTGGACGCTGCAAGTTTCTAAGCCAAAAGCAGTACTTTCATAGATACGTAATACGGTAATACGCATACCATATACATAATATATGACTAAAATTACAGTAACTAAATAAATAATTAAATAAATAAGCATGTGTCTTAATAGCATATAGCTAGATACTATTAGATACTGTAACGTCCTTGCCATCAGAAGCCAAAACATGGCAAATCCAGACCCAGTGGGCGGAATCCACCAAGGATCGAGAAGAGAGAAGAACTCTACGAGGATGCCAAATGGGCTTGGCCCTCAGCACCGGGTGTGGCTCAGCTCCAACGGCCAAAGGCACCGGATGGTCTTCGGCCAAACAAAGCCTTCAAGGGGATTCTAGATATTTCAAGGGGGGTTACCGGATTAATTACCCATGATTTTGGGGCAAAACTACTGTAGAAAACGGTAGGTATATCATATCTTTTTAAACATGATGATAAACATGATGATAAAAATGTACAGGTTCCCCCTGCTTCCACCTGTTCGGGAGAGAGAACAGATCTACATCTAGAATATGCAATGATATGAACATTTCTTTGTCGCACACCCTTTTATTTTTTTTTGATCATTTGTTGGCATCTGTTGGCTGATTTAGATGCTCCTTGCACTCAGCAGCTCTCAGGTGCACTCCTTCATGAAGACCCTCTGAGCTTGCTAAGATCGGCTGGAGCTCAGCCGATCTTCACGGCCAAAGATTCGCCCCAGCTCAGCCAGCTCAGTGCAAAGAGGTGTGGGTTGGTCATGGCCATGCAACAGTAGGCCATACTAGATTAATTGAACATAGTCAGGTATTGTCAAAGTCCAAGGCCCCAATTTTTCAAGTAAGAATCTCAAATCACATTCAGTTCCCTGCGATAAATGGACTTGGTTCACCTTGCAGGGTTTGTGGCAACGATGACGCAGGTTGTAAGTAGGAAGTGACCTTGGCATTGATGCTGCCATTTGATGTCAGCTTGGGGATCCATGGGCGCGCACAACAGACGGGGTGGACATGGCAACCTGCGATGAGCTCGACATTTGGCAGTTCAACTGGCAGCAGGATAGGATGTCAAGCTGACGCACGCACACCATCAGACAATCAAACAGACCAGCTACACAACAGCCATGTCCAAAATTTGGCAAGAGCTTGGCTTGGAATTGCTCCAGTATTCATGAGACAAGCGCCTTGATGAGCTGCCAGTGAGGCAGCGGGACACAGACTCGGAGGGTTTTCAAGTTTCCAAGCGTATGCAGCTGCAAAGTCAAAGATATGGATTTGAGTCGGGCAATTGACAGGAAACAACAGTCCATCCACAGACAGAGCTCCCGAACACACAGCCTTTTCTATCGGTTTTCGCCGATTTCTCATCTTTTTTTTTGCTGGCTGCCGCTTTGCAGGAGCGCGCCCAAAGTTGAAGAGACATCCACATCATGGCGTTGTGCAGGCTTTGGGCTGACCCACTCCCAGCTGCAACAGGTCCAGTTCCAACATGTATTTTCTGGTCCTTACTCTCCCTGCTGGGATTCAGAGGAATTTTGGCCGGATCTTGAGGTGCCTTTTGTTCTGGGGAGTTACACTTAGGGACTTAGGGCATGAGCAAGGCTCTCTTTGCATGCCTAGGAGCCATTTTCAGACCCAACCAATCACCATGATCTGATGATCTGATGAACAAGGATCAGCCATAAGAAAGGTTCAATAACCACCAGCAGCTGTCAGCTGTCAGTCTGCAGCCATTTTTCGCCTCAAGATTTAGCCACTTCCAATGGTGGAAAATCCTTGGCGAAGCTGTGATGAACCTCGACATCAGCTCCATCCTGACCACGGCCAGGCAGGGAACACCTACCAAAGATGACCTGATGGCAGTGCTTACTCCATGCCTTTCAGATTGGTCCAACCATCCACGCTATGCCACTGCGACCCTGAGCGCCTTGGGCAAGAAACGACGTCCTGACCTGGTGGAACTGGTGCTGGAATGTATGGAAGATGCCAGGGTGGAAGCCAATGTGTACCACTATAGCGTAGCTTGTTTGATCTTGTTTTCTCGATAGGTTTTTTTTGTTGTGCCCTGATTCTTGATTCCCCAGTTCAGCAGATATTCTGTAGCCCAACCAGGTCGCCATCACTGCCAGCGAAAAAGCTGCCGACTGGGCCAGGGCTTTGCAGCTATTGGGCACCATGCAGCAGTTACAGGTCGAAGCCAATGAGTACAGCTACAGCGCTGCCATCAGTGCGGCTGAGAAAGGTCTGGGTGGCAGTGAAAACGTAGAGATCCCAGGGGTTGAAGATTGACCCAAGAAAACTGGAGATGTATTTCGGGCATTTTTTGACCAACAATTTCATATGTTTGAAATTAAGCACCAACCAAGATTGGGGAGATTTTTTTTTTAAATAACACGCATGGAAAGATTGACCAACCGAACTGGTGACTTGTCCAACACAAATAAAGAGATGTAGAGCAAAAAATAGAGAGAAAGAGAGGGAGATAGAGATCCATTTTCTTAATCTTTACTAACTTCAGTGAATATATGTAAATGTGAAAATAAAAACAAAATATTTATTGATTGTTGGTTATACATCCCATTCTATCTCTACTAAGCGATGATCATCCCATATGGAGGTTAAACAGAGGTTTGTACCCCAGGTCGCCATAGATTTCGCTACTAAACTTGTCATCCATGACTTGGATGATTTGGGGTATCCTCATTTTTTGGGACATCGTCATATATGATTTATATTTTATGCCAGAAATCAACTCAGAAACCCACCCGAGGTGGCCAATGGCAGCTAGCCCTTCAGCTGCTGAGCTCCATGCAGCAGCAGCTGCTGCTCCCCAACGAGGTCACCTACGGCGCCAGCATCAGCGCCTGCGCCAAGGGCAGCGATTGGACGCAGGCGCTGCAGCTCTTGGTGGAGTTGATGGATGGAAAGCTGCAGTTGAAACTGGGTTATACACGGTTATACTTTGCATCTCTTGGTTTTTCATAGTTTTGTTCTTTGGTCCAACTAGTTCTTGATTTATCTATTTTGTTGATTCCTACCCGACCTGTTTTTTTTATTGAATGTTGGTATTTTGAAGTTTTTGCCCTTGATATGTGATTCTATTTTTAGGTTTTGGTTGATCCCTGCTATGTCCAATGTGATATCTTGCTTCGCCGTTTCATGTTGTTTCTTTCACAGAAACCAATGAAGTCAGATCCTAGTTGATATTTTTTGGGGGGTTGAAACCACCAACCAACTGAACCAACTGTGCAGCTGCACACAGCAAGTGGTGATTTTATTTTTCTCAAAGCACCCATTTTTGGGACCAGCAACCAGGAATGTGATTGCCACCAGTTCTGCCATCACCGCCTGCGAAAAGGCAAACCAGTGGCAGGGTGCCATTGGACTGTTGGAAATTATGTTTCAGAAGGAAGTGCCTGCAGATACGATCAGTTTCAGTTCGGTCATCAGCGCCTGTGAGAAAAGAGGATTCTGGGAATTGGCCCTCAGTCTTCTGAATGACATGCGGAGCACTTCGCTGACACCGGATGCTGGGAGTTTCAATGCCGGGATCAGTGCATGTGCAGCTGGAGGCCAGTGGCGCATTGCCTGCGACCTTTTGGGTGCCATGCCTGAAGTGGAGGCCACCCCAGACATGATCAGTTTTAGTGCAGCAATAGTCGCATGTGACAAGTGCGAGAAGTGGACCTTGGCGTTGTGCTTGTTGAAGGACAGCCTTGCTGCTTCTATCCTTCCAGACACCGTGTTGTTCAACTCCGTGCTCCACAGCTTGGAAACCACTGGAAACTGGCGACTTTCCTTGGCTATACTGAGGGAGATGCCTGGTCGAAAGGTGCCGGTGAACGAGTTGAGTTATCGCGCGACCATGGGCGCCTGCCGTCAGTGGCCGCTGGCCATGGCTTTGTGGCAGGAGATGTGTGGGGTCACCTCTCCTTCGGCTATCTCAGCCAGCAGCTGCATCCTGATCTGTGCCAGGCAAGGGGCATGGCAAGCTGCGGTGCTGCTGTTGCAGCAGATGTTGGAAAAGATCGGATTTCCGGAAGCCTGGCTTTGCCGTGATTTTTAAGCTGTCTTCCCATTGGTTCGATTCCACCATTTGTTGGGGAATCCACATCCAAAATTGCCTAATTATCATTAATTATCTCAGATCTATGCAACTCGCTAGATGAAAATGGTCGAAACATGTCTAAAATGGGTTGTTTTCGGCTCCTTCCGCAACTCCAAGGAAGGTCCCAGTGCCTTTGATGCTTTGATCCATGCCTGTGACCGGGAGGGTAGCTGCCACGTGGCCACTCAGCTAATGGCCGAGTGGGGCCAACAAGTCACAGCCTTGCTGGGCTCTACAGGAGACCGCCCTGGGCTTTTCGGATGTGGCACAACTGGGTCCCCGCCCTGATCAGCTGGATGGTTGCGAACCCAGAGATACCTAAAGAATCCTAATAGAATCCTATAGCCAAAGTCTATGGAGTCTATGGGTTCCTTGGTCTCCATTGAGTCTCCATGTTGATCCAATGATCATTTCGTTCTTTGTGCCAAGTGTTGCATGATCCAGAGATTCAGACAGAAATGGTGCACAGCGGCGGTCAAGGGCAACTCCCAGATTGGGCAATTGAGAGCTACCGCCGGATTCCCAATCATTTATGCCCGTACATGCTCATCATTTTTGGCTAGGTTTACCTTGGTATGGGTTGGTTGAAAGCCCCAATGTTGTAGGGATTCTACTGGTCTTGTACCCCAAATCCACTTGATAACTGGTTTGGGATACCACAATCTAGTTTGTTCTTGTGTGTGTGAGTGTGTGGATGTGTGTGCGCGTATGTTCCATCAGTTGGTCTTTATATCCCATTCATTCGGGGCATGGTTCTGAACTGAAACCCAGCTGCCGGACGTTTGCTGCAGGTTCTTCAGACCGGTCTCAACACAGCCGAAGAGGAAGCGCCTCCGACTCATGTATCAAAGCGACAAGGAGCACTGCACCCGGCACATTTGATATTCCAGTCAGTTAGTTACTAGTCACAGTATTGCAGTTATTACAGTTACTCGAATTCATAGTTGTAATCCCAATGGTTTGAGTCGCAAATAATAACTCTAGCTATAGTTGGGATATGCGGCTATTCAGTCAAGAACCAGGATTATATTTAGAATCATGATCCTAGTTGCAAATAATTGTCGAAGAGTAATGCACCTAATACTGACCTAACAAAGAGGGAACTGATATTTTTTAAAGCAGCGTTCAAAAAAACCTGTTGCTGAGGTTCGTGTACTAGCCTTTATATTTTTTGGGATGCTATATAGGTGCACTAATCAACTGAATTGATTTGACCATGATAGCCAACTATATACATACACATACATGCGTGTATATATATATATACATGTGTGTTGTATAATATTGTAATTGTTGACTCAGTTGGAATCCCTATTGACCCAACCTCTGGATGCCACAGGAGCTGGAGTGCATTCTCATTGCACCTGAGGAAGTTTCGGTCCAGGAAGAAGTTTCTGGCCAGGAGGAATGGCTGGCTGTTGCGGTAGTTGGCAGCTGAGCCGATGTGGCAAATCAACTGCAACCATATGACTTTCAATAAACTTTACATGTTTACTCAAGTGACTAAGTGGGATTATGTGAGGTGACATTTGATTACATTTGATCTATGGATAACTATTATGATTATGATTATTATACCACTTTTTTTTTTAAAAAAAACATGTTCTTCCTGGAGATATCGATGGTGAAATCACCACCATGACTCGTCCTTTCGGGTCCCGCAGGAGGGTGACCTCGTCATGAAAGCGGTGACGAGAAGCGTCTCGCTGAATGATCCCTTCACGTCTGAAGCTCGATACAGATCAGTCACAAGGATATGGTTTTAAATGGTTAGTAGTTGTTAATAGCGGTTAATAATGGTGAATAGTGGTGAACCCTCATGAATAATAGTGATTAATATATACCCTTAACTGCTAGACCCTTTATTTTTAAAGGGTTTGTACACAAACCTCGGGTTTTCCACAGAATCCGGAAAAACCTCGGGTTTCCAGTAAAAACCTCGGGTTTTGGCCATATCCCTTAAAAACCCTAATTTTGTGAACCCTGGCCGGCCGCCTACATGCCCAGGACCTGTTTGGTCAAGCACTGCTGGGGACGCAGTGAAGGTTTATCTATTGGATATGGTTTTTTTCATTTCTCACATATATTTAGATGAGCTAACAAAAGATCAACAATGGTCAACCTTTCTTTATTGATGAAATTGAGCTGGTCGATCAAAGTTATTGATGTCAATGAATTTGATTTCCAAATGTAAGCCACCAAGAAATGTAATTATTCTGTGAGAGGAACGGTGCCTGAAATTAACTTTCAATTTTCCACCTCACGCCCGATCAGCCCTTCCGATCTCTTTTGCCCAATGCCGTCCAATGCCACCGGAAACGCTCCGGAATGGCCAGTGGGGACTCTCAGTCCTGGAGGAAAGCAGTCTGGTATTTTTTCACTCTTCTTGAAGTTCGTGGGATTCTTTAACGTTTGTAGCTATATAGGGATGCTTTCACCATCAACTCCACAACAAACTATGAGCTCACGCAAACCAGATGTACATCATATATTCTAGCCCATTTGAGGCTCAAGTTTCATCGGTGTTTCTCCTGGTGGTGAGCCGCAGCAGCATCGGCTTGCCATGACAAAGCAGAAGAAACCTGCCGGTAGGCCCAAGGCAAGTGTCAGTGAAAATTTGGACATCAAAAAATTATCCACAGAGTGGGACGACAACGATGTTATCCGTGAGAGACTTCGGTCAGGTGGAAATTTGTTGGAGGGAGGTCTTGGCGAGGATATAGCCACCACTGTTGCCAACCATGATGTGCTTCAACCCCTTATCGTACGTATGAGCCTTACAGAAACTCGCCCCTTGCCAGTCGTAGACTCATTAAGGGATGAGGTGGAAGCTCTCTACCTGAAGTCCAAGAGAGGGCAAAATCCAGAGGACGCCCCGGATGTGATTGGCATCTCCTGGAGGATTCGAAAGCTTCTAGGATTTTTGAAAATGAAAGTGAGAAGGCATGAAGTCAGTAATGTGCCTTCTCCGCAGTATATTTTTGCTTCATGTTCCAAAACAAACAAGAACACATATTTATTGCTGTAACGTTATTAACATTTCCTGAAAATAATAATCCATTTTGTTGCCCATGGATCTCAAAATCAACTTTGTTTTTTTCATGGTACATACATGCACTGATGTGTGAGGTGCCAAGTTTCCAAGACATGTGCCTTGAGCTGGACCCTTCCTTACAGGTTGGGATGGGTTTTGACAACCGGGGTTGAAAGAGCCGATCAATTTAACGTTTTGCTTCATAGAACTGCATGCATGCAAAACGTGTTCAAATCAAAAAACATTAGTTGTAAATGCAAAGCATGTTATATATGGCTGCATTAGTTTGACCCTGCGCAGCTTCGCTAGGAGCACATCGACAAGGTCAACCGCAAGTTGGCTGAGCGAAGGGCAGCGAAAGGATCCAAGGAACTATGGGGGGATGGATCCCACATGAAAAAACACTATTGTTTCCTCTATATATATGCACCTTTGCATGCATTTTTTCATGGTGAACATTTGCGCAGTTTTGTCCTGGGGTGTGATGTGATGTGTGATCACTTGTAAATATGGTCTTCAGATTCTACTGTATATATGCAGATAGGGTTTTACATGCGCACATGGACAAAGGACCTTGAAGACGAGAGTGAGACTGAAGAAGCAGAACACGAGGAATCGGAGGATGAGGAAAACGGAGAAGGTGATGACCCATGTATGGAAGACCATTTTTCCGAGGCAAAGGAAGGTGAGCCAAAACATAACAGTAAGGACATGCCAGAGGTCAGCCAAGAGCCGCAGCAAAGCCCAGGTCAGATCCCAGAGACTGCTGGTTCCAAGACTCAGGATGTCTTGAAGGAACAGGCTGGTGTTGAGGAGGGTCAGGCAGCTGAGAACAAGAAACATGAACCTTCCAAAGATCCTGGTCACAGTGGAGACTCCAGCAGTAACTTGTTTTAAAGATACGATAAACATACAAATATAACTTATCGTGAGTCAGGACATTGTTAATTATTTTTATTGTTCCCAACTAAAGTCAAACGCAAGTGAACACGCATGGGTGGGTGTAACTCTTGCACACATCACATGTCAAGGTAAGATGGCGTCCTTGCGAGATCAAAAGGAGCTTGTATTGGCAAAGCTTGCAGCGCTTTTTGTCTGCAATTTGCTATTTATGATACTGTTATTCAACACTTTTCCGGTCATGATTTTGAACGGGTTCGTCATGTCAAACAAACGTCCTGAAACATCTTAGAAGGTCAAAACTATAGTTTGCAAATGATTCCTGTCTATACATCACGTACCAGTCATCTCAAACTTTCGTTTTACATATTGATAAAGCATTTTTCGTTTCAATACCGTAACCCGGCCAATGAGGCTACGAGCAAATCGAGATGCTGCCCAATCGGTGGCTTCCACTGCTTCTTCGGTTTCCGGGAAACCATGTTCGACAGGAGACCCACACTGATCTGCAAGTGTATAGTCTTTCTTGCGACACTTTGTATATAATATATATACAGTACCGGCTCTACCTTGTAAAGAATAAATGTTATGCTTCAAGGTTCTTTTGATATACACCAAACAGAAAGATTCTTTCTGATGCACAAATGTGTGTCGCAGGAACCCCCAGCAGCAGCGCAGCAAAGGTGTCAATTGATCAGGTTGACACACAACCAGTCGATGTCACAAGTTTGCCAACACCCGCAGAGACACCCCCAGAGGGTTTCATGTCGCCACTGGCCACAGCAGATGACAAGAGATCTAAGTATCAGGTGAAACCAGAACCCAGAGCAAGAACAACAGAAGACAAGAGTTCAGAGGATGCAAAGCCAGAGAAGACGGTTGAGAGAAAAAATAAGCCAGTCACTACCAAAAAGATTACGAAGACTGATGATGTGACGCAAAAAGATCAATTTACAGAAAGCGACCAAGAGGCTGGGATGACTAAAGGTTTGATGTACTGTATGTTGTTCTGCTATCGGGTTAACATATATATCATATATATACACCCACATGATATATAAACTCCTTTTACACATAAATTGCACTTTTTCTCCGTACCTTATGTTGGTTGATTTTTTTTTTGGCTATGCACCATGACAGGCCGAGCCACTTCCAGCAAAGACCACAAGACAAAACCAGTTGGACCAAAAGACACCATGTGAAGGGAGAGGGCGTGCCAAAGGCAGAGGGCGTGGCAAAGGGCGGGGGAAGGGAAAAGGTCGTGGGAAGAGCGATGGCAGTGAGCAGCAATCGGGTAGATCCCGTCCTGGGAAAGCTGGGAAAAGTCCCAAGGGGAAAGCAAAGGCGACAAAGCCACAGAAGAAAAGCGACCCGTGGAATGGGGAGTGGGCAGCTTGGGGTACTGAGGATGCATGGACTCAATATGGGTGGGATGATGAGTGGAATGCAGAGGAGTGGGCATGGGACAGTACTGCTTATTGGGACAGTGCATGCAGCTACAACACTTTGAAAGAAGGTGATGACTCTCATGTCACCCAACCAAAGAAGTCTCGCAAGACTCAGGCAGCAGCCGAGGCCCCAGAGGAAACCAATGGCAAGACACCCAATTCAAAGCGAAAGGCATGCAACAAAACGATTGCGAGCGAGAAGGAGAACCATGAGCAGGAGAACCATGAGGAGGAGAACCATGAGGAGGAGAAACATGACGGGAGGATTAGGAAAACCAAGAAGCAAAAGGTTTCAAAGAAACGCCCTGACACGCATGCACCTGAAGCAGCGCCCGCGACACCCAGAGCCAAAGCAAAAGCCGCAGCAAAGAAAAGATCGCGCAAAGCATCCCCCGAGCCATCCCCCAAAGCAGCACCAGCAGCACGCAGAGCATCGCCCAAAGCAGCCCCAAAGGCAAGCGCATCAGCACCTTCCAAGGCAGCACGCCGTCAAAGAGCAGCAGAACCAGAAGTGGAAGAACCTGAGCAGTCCCGTGTTCTTGCAACTACCTGGAAGGGGCGGGTTGAAGAAATCTTGCGTTTCATGCGCAACTTTTCGCACTTGTCAGAAAAAGATGTGCTGTCCACAGTGCGCAGTTTCCTGGCACCCTTTTTCTCCTGTAGACTCAATGTGTACTGGAAACGACCTGCTGTTGGTTTGCACCACCTTGAAGAGAAGACTGACTTTGGGTACTTTTCGTGCCCCAACCTGGAATGTCCAGCAGCGTTCAAGATGGTGGCCCTTCTCAAGGGTGCTGAAATGCTGGCAACTTGTTTGTGTTAAGACACGCGCTATATATATAATGCAGTGCAACACACATATATATGCTCAAGACAATGCTGTGCAACACATATATGTCCATGATTCATGTGCGTGTTGAATTTACTTTGTTTACTAAGGCAAGGTTTGTGGACGAAGTCGGAAAACGTGAAGAGCTGAATGACGGGCTCAAGGTTACTGAGTACTGGGCAGTACAGAACATGCACCAGCAGTTGAAAAAAATCATCGATGAAGCAGTGTCAAAGTTTGTTCAGGCCCTGCAGCCAGAATCTTGAAAGCTTCAACATGGATTGGATTTGCCACATAGGCCTTCACACTGCGCGCTGTGTGTTGGGCTGGCAAGTTGAGAACAACTTGCACTGGGGTATGCACACAAGTGTATGCGGTGCGGTAGCATGCAGGTGGCTCTTTCCTTTCCAGGTGTTTTGACATCGGGGACTGTCTATCAGCCTCAAAAAACTTAATGTCATGGGTGTAGCATTTTACAACTCGAATTTATGTGTTTTCATACCTGTTGCACCTGGCTGCGGGCTTCTAGAGAGTTGAAGCATGGAGCGTATGGAAGGGCTCGAAACTTGAGATGTCCAAGAATAAAAAGTTCAACATCGATTTATATCATGCTCAAATCTTTGCATTTTTGAAGTTTCCTGTTTGAAAGAATAAATATCATACGTATAATTTTGGGTTTAACAGAAACCAATTTTGATATCGGAGTGTCATCTCTATAGGGAGCTCTTTGCGAAAGTGCTTGGTCTTACATGGACGCGATTCAGCAAGTGTGGCAAAAACAAACTTCGGTGCGCTGAGTGCCAATGCCAAAGGATGAACTAATTAGGGAATAACGCAAATTTAAAATTTAAATCGGAATGCATTGGTCCAAATGTTCATTGACAATGATGCAATCCAAAAAGTTGGATCTTCAAACCCTATAATTTGATATCTGTCATATTGGCACCTCTCCAAAAGTTTCCTGTTGTTTTTATTCAATGGTTCCTCATCCCGCCCATGTGGCCTCCAAGGCTTGGAAGATGGCGGCAGCTGCGGAATAGAGGTGGCCTCTGGCAGGTCCGTGTGAACTCCCTGAAGGTCAAAAGTAAGTTCCGGCATGTTTCTAATGAGGACTGACACTAATGTATATATTCATTCATTCGGGAAAACATGACTTGAGTTCTGAGTTCTGTTGGTACTCATGTTCGGTTGTCGTGGTTTGGAATGCTCTCAAGTCGGACAAGCAGCAAACGATCTGAACCTATATATATGGACTATATAACCTGGCTGAATGAGTCTTTGGGCAAACCTTGCGATGTGACAGAACCATTTACTTTAATCTTCTCTAAAAGGTTTTATGTTTTTTCATCTTAGGTATATACACCTTGCACCAGTTAGCTAACTTGCATCGCCATGATCGACTTGGATGCGCTGCTCTGGCGATTTTGCCAGCTTCGAGTTCCAAAGGAGCAGAACAAATCAAGTGTTTTATCGGGAAGTAGTTTATCAACCATTATTATTTTTTTCTCATATAGATTTTGGAATGTCCCCTTTGTTATTGAGTGGTTGGTGGTTATGATTTTTGATGTAACACTTTCTGGTTTGGTGTTCGCCCCAGACCCTAACCATCTCTCCTAGTACATTACACACACATACACACACACACACACACACACTCCCATGGTTCTTCGGGCAGGAGTTTGCTTTGCTGGTGCTCCTCCTGATTTGGTCCTATGACGTTCAGCAGGCAGCCCGATTGAGAGCAGTTGGTCTCAAACACTAAATAAAGATGTTCTGTCATGAGGTCTGTTACAGCATTTAGGGGCTGGAGCACACATTGGCAATAATAACGAGACCCATTGCACCTTCCAGGACATTTCGTGGCTGGAATTCTTTGCCGGCACCGCAAACCTGACGGCGTGTATGGTCTCAGCCCAGTACAAATCGGCTAAGTTTGATGTGATGTACAACAAGCAGCCTGCAGGTCGCAGGTCGAATTTCATGGATTTGACCCACCCGGCAGGATGGGCGTTTCTCAACTTGTAAGCTTTTGAAACCCAATGTTTCTGAATGCAATCATGTATATAGGAAGATTGCATGCCAGTATGCCACCTGCTAGAATTCAAGAGTCTAGCATTCATATATATATACTTGGGCCTCAGCAATTACAACTGAGGCTGAGCATCTTGTATATTCTACGCGGGGTTGAAGGCAACTTTGGAGCCCACTTCGGGCTGAAATGCTCAAGCCTTTGTAAGATGAACATTGGCACCAGCTTTCGCTCAGCATGTACTTCCATCGGCTATGAGGGATACAAGTCTGTTTGCCAAGCCAATATGCTCCTTGAAAGGACCCAGTTACGTTTGTCCAAAATAAATATATATGTGTGCATTATATATTATCGCATTCGTATTGTTTGACCCATTGTCATAGACTCTGGACTTTCAAAGGTAATAACCAACAAATGTTTCCAATCCTCGCCCGCCAGGACCTGCCTCATGGCACTCCTTTGCACTTGCCAAGGTGGTGTCTGGTCTCTTGAGCAACCTTCGGGAAGTTTGGCTGAGTACTACCCTGCATTCAGGGTTATGCTGGAGGCAATGTTCCGCTGTGGCGGTGATTATGCTGTCAGAATCTTAGCGTGACATTCGCACTGGTTATCTCTATTCCTATTTGTGGAAACATAATTTGTTTGAGGCAATAGTATGGCTATTGGGGGCCAATGTCGTTGGAACGCAAATCAAATTATTGGTTATATATATCTATGCGGCGGTTTCTCATAAGCTTGTGGCAAATTCATGCAAATTCAACATGTGTGCAATTTTGTCCACCCATGCTTATTTCATATGTAGTATTCACATTGGGTGTAACTTCTATAGCTAAGGTGTCTCGAGTTGGATGGTGGATGGGACATTACCAGTCAGCAACCCCGAAGCGCCACTATGGCTATGCAAATAGCCCGGTCATCCACCGCATTGACCGCGGGAAGTTGCAGGGTTGGAAAGATCGGGGTGTGAGAAAGGTAGTGACAGCCGAGAAATACAAAGACAAAGGAGGGAAAAACCGTTACAAGGGAACAACATCGTTGCGTTCTACCGAGATTCTTGAAGCAATGTTCGCAAAATGTTTTTCTTGTTACTTTGATTTCTCTTACAAGGGTACCCACGGCATTTTGGATCTTTTCTCTAATAGCATGGACAACCTAATGACCTAATGATTTGTTTTTCATACCTGTCAACTGGATTCGATGTTTGGGGCCCCACAAAGAAACCAATCAAATCAAAAAGATTTAAAAAGCCACTGTCGCCCTCAGGGTCTACCCGGTCGCATTCGGCCGACACATGTGCGACCTCATGGAGGACATGAAACGCACTCGGCGAGGGCAGCCTCAGTTGCCAAGTGAACTGCCGCCGGCTCTGATTTCATTTCAAAGACTTCAGCCGGCCGATTCGAACATATGGCGACATGTTGGGTTTACCGATGTTTACAATTATTTACGACGTAACAAGAAGTTACAAATACCGCCTCAATGGCGTGATGTTGTGCCTGCTCGAATGCATGAGGTTCAAAGGGATGATTGATATAGAGATGAATTTGCCGAACAATTTTGAATTCGAATCTTCGAAAACAAAATTCGAAACAATTTTATGTTGTTTTTGTCAATCCGTATCGGAAAAAAAAAGGGTTTACTCGGAACCCATACTGAACCCATACCAAACCCATTCTGAACCCGTACCAAACCCATTATTTTGGTGGGAAAACCCCGGGTTTCTACTAAAACCTCGGGTTTTCCAAACCCGTACTGAACCCGTACTAAACCCATATTTTACCCGTACTAACCCATTATTTTTTAATGGGTTCGAGTACCCCCCCGGAACCTCATTTTTGCATAGTTTGCGGCACAATTGTGGTGGGCTGGACTGCCAGCTAAACCAAAATTCGTGGAAATGGTGCTAGTCGCCTGATACCAATTAAATTTAACTGATGCATTTTCGCATTGAGTTTAATCTCACGGGAGTCCGAAAACAAAAAGAAATTATATCGATGCTTGCACCCCATCACGTTGCCAAATTTTTGGGGTCAGAGACCGTCATCACAGGCACAAAGTAAATACCACCATGCTTTTGGCATTTGAAGCATCATTTTGGTTCAATCTGGATTGGGTTTGCCCTTGGCAAGTGTTGCCAAATGAGTCAACCAGAGTCTAGCCTTACCCTTGGTAGCTGCGGCACTTTACAAGATGGCATTAGCTTCTTGGACCTTTCAGAACAAGAACAATGTCTGTTGAACCAGCTTCAGGACCATTCGTTGTTTTTTGCCAAACAATGAGGTGTTTCAAGATTTTTCTTACAATTAATAATGCTGACTGTATATATTCACATGCTAGATAATATATAACATTAAATAACCATAAATGACATGTTGAATGCGCACCACGCCAGGACATCGATATGGAGATTGACGCCATTTCCTGTCAGGAGAAGGATGTGGGAACTGAAGCAACTCCAGCAACCCAGGTCATACTCCCAGCTTAAAATTCAAGGGGTTCATTCAATAGCCCATCCGTCCTCATTCCCAGGCCATGGAACTGTTGAAAGAAACTGCGCCAGAGACTGTCCCTGCCAAATCCTCAGCTATGGTGAAAATAAATCAAAGCTTCCTTCTGTACATGTGATAGGGACAAGATGAGACAGATCTTTAAACAAGTCAACATTGTATATAAAAGTCAGGCAACATACAGCATTAATGCTTTGTGATAGCAGGAGAAATAAAACAAACCATGTGAGCTCTGTTAAGGCCAGTGAAGAAGAGATTCAGCTTAGCTTGAAGGCGCTTAATGTATACAAACCTTCAGAAATACAAACCTTCAGAAAATGCTTTGCCATTGGCGGGATCTCAAGCAAAGTCGAGTTATGCAGAGTTGAATTGGACTTTCTTTTGGATTGTTGAAGTCACATCTACAACAGTGTTAACACCATCCCGTCAGGTTGGCAATCCACCAGTGCCTGAACCAGCTACTGCGCCAATTCCTACTCCAGTTCGAACCAATGCCGTTGCCCCAAAAGCTGAGACTCAGGATTCTCAGGTGGTCGCAATTTCAGAAACTAAAGTTGATACTGAAAAGTCAAAAGCTGTGGTGGCAACGGATACCCCTGGTGTGCCGAAGGAAGACGCTCAGGCCAAGTTGCAGGTTGCAAAGGCAACGGAACTGGACCAGGCTGATCAGGAAGATCCTGGAGACTCTGCAGACAAAGACAATACCACTCGCAAGGCTTGGGATGTTGAGCCATGTCATACAACCCCATGTTGTTGTTAAATTCGGCTTGCCATGTCCACATGCAAAACTCATACAATATAGTCAGTTCACAGTATACATTTACCATATAATGACTTGAAAAAGAAACAGTTGTCTAGACTGATGGTGAAACATAATGTCAGCCATGTACCATGTGTTATGGATGCACATGGAGGCAAAACTTCGTCTAGCAGCAAAGGCGCGTATCATCCGATGGGTTAAGCCCAAAACCAAACGGTTTGACCGTGCTGCCCCACAGTTCTTGGTTGAAGAGTGGTCGAAAGGGAACAAGGGTGCAATTGCAGATCTTTACTCCCGAGCCAACTTTGATCAGGACAGGGGTGACCAAATCAACTATTTTTTCATGCTGGTGTGTGACCGACTGAATGGTGATGCGAACACATATTTTTTTGAAAGAAAACTATCGCTATATGCTGCTTTTTATGCTCCGTGGCTAGGATGTGTTCCTGAACCAGTTGAAAATTCTGGTGAGCAAGAAGCAGCTGGTGGAATTGACGGTGGACGAAGGTTGGTACTCCGAAGCGGAGCTCAAGGATGATTTGGGTTGGTCTCAGTTCTGTCCCCAGAATTGGTATTCTTCAAATGAGCATTCAAATAGCATCTGACCCTGTCCTCTTCTGCGCCTTTCCTCTCAAGGAACAAGATCGACGGAGCCAAAGCACGATGCATGTCCTTGGGTGACACGCACTACAGGCGTATATCGATCGTTATATCCCTTATACAGTATATAAATTAATATATGATAATATATATGTATCCCTCGATATCTGTTTTATTTCTCAGTATATTGTTTTGGTGTTGTAACAATGAAAAAATCATCCAATCATCCAATGAACAAAACACTAAAATCATGACCTGGCCCCATGATTTCTCAATCGAATTTACATGCTTTGGAACAAATCAACCATTTCATAACTCTTTCACACCATGCATGCAGCGCCAGGAACAACCAATACGACGGTGCCGAAGAGTTTTGGGTAGTGACCCGGGAAACAGGAAAGCGTCAGGAGTCACATTCGTTTGAAGAAACGCATGAGAAGAATGTCAAGGCCATGCCATTATTTTGTTTGGGTCTTGGAAACTCTCAAGTCAGAAATGTTGGTTCGTGCAAGTTTCAATGTGTCAAGTACTTATCATACTTATCAAGCTGTAGATCCGTGAGAGGCTAAGACTGATCCGACTTTCGAGTTGGGAGAGAAGTTCAAAGGTATCGACACTATGAGCTCTCGTGCGGGGAAGGAGAAGTTGGTTCAGGTTACTCCCAGTGAGACTTCACAATCGAAATATGGTCAGGTTCGGGTCCCTTTGCCAACCATTGTCGAACTGTAGCACAGTACCAATTATTTGCATTACCCTTTCCATTTCCAATGCACAAACGCTAGCATCCAACCGCAGTCTTCCCATGCACCCTGCAAGACCAAAGAACGATTCTCGAAGTTTAAGACATCGCTGATGACAAAGAGTGGAAAGTTGAGATCTCTGATCAGGGAGCTCACCACCAAGTATCCAGAAGATGATGGTGCCAAGAAGTTCCCTTGCACTACATATGATGATAGTACATGTGACAATTCCAGATCATATTTGTTCAGCCAAGATTCCAAACACACTTTCTGTATAGTAGCCAGACCGCAGCCCAAAAACGACTTTCCAGCAACGCCCAGGTGTGTCGCCGACCTCAAGAAGGAGGTGCAGACCCTCGATGCGCACTTCGATTCATGCCAGGATGTTTGGGCAAAGGGTGAGTGCGATGGATTCTTCACTGATGTGTCCCTGGTTGGCGAATAAAACACCACAGATTTCTCTTCGTTTTCTGCTGTCAATGTATTGATTGTCATGGCGCGATCTTGGACAAAACATCATAATATTGTTTTAACTTGAAAAAACATGTGCAATACATCTCAGTGCCCACTGCTATGGTCAGAATAGACACCCTTGCAGCAAGGTTCCACAAGGCTGCCGAGGAACAGATGCAGAAAGGAACTTTGGCGTGTGGGCCCCATGCAGAAACAAATTTGCCATCCTTGGTCGGGACTCATTGCTATCCTCCACCCAAGTTGGAAACAATGTTGTTTGAGCTTTCATTAGCCTCAATTGTACTTATCCCCTTACCCATTAGGATTGCTATAAAGTCAACTGCAAATTTGACAGCGTTTCTTAGGTGTTCAAAGGCTGCAGCTGCGGAGTTGAAGACGAGGAGAATCCTATACAATCCTATACATATGTTGTTCCAGCCAAAGAACTGTAGAATTCTATCATGGCGAATTTTGTTTACAAAATGCAATGACCTGACCTGCAATGTCTACTTATTGAATGGTTTGAAACAAGACAGTAACCAACCAAGATTCCATCTCACCGTTTTCTTAAGCCTGTTCAATCCAAGATACTCCTGCACATGTGGAACTCTTCCGCCAGGAGCCGCAAGAAGTTCTTCGAGAAAGCAGAAGCACCTGCTGACGTCCCGGGCTCTAGGAAGCCAGGTGGTGGTAAGAACAAGAGAAAGCATAGGGATGAGGCTGGTGATGTTGGAGCTGAGCCGGCAAGCAGCCAGGGCAAGAAACCGGAAAAGCCCAAGAAATCCAAAAAGGAAAAGAAAGCCTAAGTGCTTCAAATGTTTTGTCTAAGTTCTTGCGTTGGAGGGATGACGTGTTGGTCAAAGCCAAGTGGAGCAAAGTAAATCAACATATGACTGGACTTGTAACTTCTTGTGTCTCAAAGATTGTGCATGGACTTCAACAGATTTCTAAGTTCACTACTTGGCAAAATGACCTGTGAACACGCAACCTCGTGATGAGGATTTGCGTTGTTGCTCTAGCAGCAGCTGATGCACAAGCTAGCAAGCATGGGGGGGTCATGCAGAGAAAAGTCTCAGCTTGGCTTTGTCTTTAGCAGGGATGTGTGCAATCACAAGGCATCACAGAGCTAAACTCTACTAAAGTGATTTCTTCCCAACTTATTTTCGCTAACGCATGCCACCCCATTTTCCATGGATCTCCAGCCAGGTCCCACACCTGGACGCATAGTCCGTGGCTTCTCCAAACGGATTGGCGATGGTGCCAGGAGCTCATCCAAACCTAATCGTGATGAATCAAGTCAGACTGGAAAAGTTAGGGAAGAACAGTCGAAGTTGAGTGTCAGAAGCCTATTTACCTTCAGCATGGTTCGGTCAAGCTGTATATAGGATGTAGTAGTGAAAAAGATTAGGGCTTTCATGTCTCGCATTGCTCCAAAGCCCATGGCCATGGAGTTGGAACACCCAGATGATGAGCTGTGGGACCTATTTACTTGCCATCGTTCAGAATCTTGGTTCGTCAAGTTCATGCAGAAAAAGTGCATCAACAAAAACAAATCATAATGATATGCCATTGATAGGATGTTTTCCAATGTTACTAACATCACTTTTCAAACTAGAAGTTTAAGTTGATCCTCTTGGCAAAGCTTGGAAAGCTTAGGATGAATTACGCCCGTTTCCATGGACAAGACGCAATGGACATGTCCAAGCGGATGATCCCATTGGACCTATCACAGGGGCCCAGGAGCATGATGCACGCTGCATGGATCCCAAGTCGCCAGATCCGAGCACATGTTCAGTTGAAACATCAACACCCAGTGGAATGACATCGTTGTCACCAAGCCCATCTCGTTCATTTGGTTCTTCCTATGATAGCCGTGATAGCTTTGCCTTCCTGGACTACAAGCTTCCCCCTGTCGATTGCTCTGAAGGCCGTGTTATTCAACACGCGAAACAAGTTATGTCGAATTTGTTCAAGAAGCACGACCCCATGATCTTCAAGATTGGGTACACCCACAACCCAGTTTGGCGGTGGACCAACCGCTTGTACGGGTACGTATTGGACAAGCACAAGTACACTAACATGGTGGTAATGTATCAGTCAGATGAATGTCGGGGACCCGCTATGCTTGAAGCATGTCTCATTGACATTTACCGAAGTTTCTTGGTTTGGCTTCGGTCCCATTTTCCACAATATGTGAAACCAATGATCCATTCAGCGATTTTCTGGGGTACAGGACCATCCAAATCGTTAACAATGTTTTGGATTTCTTGGGTCTTAGGTTCTACCACTTTGCCCCGAAGCCCAGGCAAGCCTGGCTGCAAGAACGAAAAATCTGGCGGCGACAGCGTTGCCATTCCATCCTCAGAAAGCAGCTGCAGCTGCGTGTATGTGGTGTATAGATCTTTCAAGTACCCACCACCGGTCAAACCTTTGAAACCATTCAAAGTGATTTCGACTGGTCGAAAAACTTGATTTTAAATATGCTGGCCATGTGTTTTCTTGCACGTACTTTCAAAAAATGATGGGACGTGTTGCGAAGCTGCTTGTAAAAAACGGATGCATGCGTTCATGCGTGCACATGTGCATATCTGCATGAAATCTACCACTTGTCGCATGTAAAAGGTGCATCTTTTGTAAGGGTGCTTGCATTTGTCTCTCTCCATCACAGTAGTAGCATCAACAAGGTCGAATCTACATATATCCTTTGGTTGATTTCCCTGTTTTGCCAAGGCCCCATGCGTCTCCATGGTTGAGACGGCCCGGGACATTGTTTCAGATTTAGGCACAGAGGTTGCTGGGCGATCTGGTGGACTAGTGCAGGTTGCAAAATGCAGCCTTTCCAATTCCGAAAGAGATTGCCGCAGAGTCTTAGTGGGCAAGCACGCCCTGTCCTTGCCAGTGAAAACATCGCAGCTCAAAGACTTTGATCACATACCAATTCTTAGAATTCGAGATTGGTTTGATTTTTTCTTGACGCATTCTTGCTTGCACCTTTTGTGTGGCCTGCAGCAGCCACATCCCAAGCGGGAGGCTGACATATTGACTTGCTTCTGGGAAAACTTTAGGGCATTACGGCCCAGACATGAAATTTTTCAGCGGGCGTCAGAAGGACGGTTGGTCCTGTCTCAGACCTTTCCACTTTTGGTGCACGGTGACGAAGGTCGTGGAAGAAAACATGCTGCGCATTTCGTGATGTCTTTCCATCCTGTCTTGGGAATGGGTTTCAAGAAAAAAGAGAAAAGTACATCGTGGGCAAAGATGGAGTGCAACTTTTCAGGCCACACCTACACCAATCGATTCTTGATTGCTACCATGAGAAAACGTGACTACTCTGACCAAAATGTTGAAACTTGGAACGCGCTCATGGAGGAGGTTGCTGCAGAAGCTGCTTTCATGGCTGACGATGGGGTGGTGGCTTCAAATGGTCTACGCTTTTGGGGGGTTGTGCTGGGCATTGTGGGCGATTGGCCCTTCCTACACAAGTCTGGTGGGTTTTGCCGAAGCTTCAACAACATCCAGAAGAGGAAGACTCAAAAAAATCTCCCAGTTGGAATCTGTCATTTATGTCAGGGGGGCCAGCGACCATACCCGTTTGAACAACTGGAAACGAGACGGCCTTTGTGGAGATCTACAATGTTTGCGGAAGATCCGTTTGTCTTGCCCAACCCTTTGGCCATGAGCCTTTTGCATGAGCCTGGCAAAGAAGCATCCCTTTGGTGCTTTGACTGGTTCCATACTATGCACCTTGGAGTTCTGAGAAATTTCATCGGTTCAGTACTTGCCCTGTTGTCGGACGAAGAACCACAATCAAATGTGGACTTGAGATTCGCAGCCTTAAGTGCTAGGTACAGAAGGTGGTGTCACAGCAACTCCAGGAGGGCCCACATTACCAAGCTCACAAAAGAGTCGATTGGATGGGAAAAAACAACGACTTTTCCATCAGCGATATGGCACAAGGGTGCTCTGTCAACAGTGGTCATGGACTTTTTGGAAGCTCGTTTTGCTGAGGATACTTTTGCACACCAACCACTTCTACAAATGGCGTCTGAGGCGTGCAATGCCATTCAGCGTTGCGCTAGAATTCTCTATCGCTCGGAAGTTTGGCTTTCTCCTTCAGTGTGCAAACTCGTTTCAGAGCTGGGGTTTCAATTTCTACGGAGGTATTCTCAAATGGCTTCATTGGCCAATAGTCAAAACCGATGCCTTTTTGTGTTTCAACCAAAAATACATTGCCTCCACCATTTCATGGTGGAACTCATGGAAGCACACCAGGCCAATGTCAAAGGGTTAAACCCGATGGCATTAAGTTGCCAACAGTCAGAAGATTTCATAGGACGACCCGCTAGGTTGTCACGGCGGGGGACAGCTCAGCGGCCAGTGCTACATAGAATCATGGACCGTTATCTACAGGCAACATACCATATGTTTCTGCAAAATCGGATTTTGATCCGGCCAACTTGATTGACAGTCATAGTTGGTTGAAGATTTCCACAAGTTATATCATTTAAATGATTTGAATTCTTTGTTAATCACCACCATCAAAAAATATCCCGGAATGTGCCCATGAAGTAAGGCCAAGGATCAAATCTCCGTCAGTAATGACAATCAGGGGCATCTAGGGGATGAAGATCAAAAAGCTGCGTGGTCTGATCAACTGTGGCGAGGCAGGCTGAATCGAAACCCCGGGTTTCCCCCGAAAACCTCGGGTTTTTTTGAGAACCTTTATTTTTAAAGGTTTTGGTTTCTCAAGGTAACTATTAATAATGGTTCATGATGGTTAATGATGGTTGATTAATGATGCCACTTGCAATCCCAGAGTCTGTACTATCACGTGTGATCCAAAATCAACGGAGCGGTGTATACTAATGGTGTATACCTGCTAGGTAAGTCCTATCCATCCCAATCACCCAAAACCCCTAGGGTTTTGGGTATTTTGTAGACATACATCCATCACAAAAAAAAATCTCCACCTTCCCCAGACTTTTTTTTTGTTTTTTTCCAGAGGAAAACCCGACCTCTTGTGGTGACATGGCTTTCCTGCAGGTTTCGTCAGCACAGAAAAACCACCTGGCCCAGGTTGCGACTCATCGAGTCGCCAGTGCGCGGGCGTGACTGTGACCATGTTCAGGTGCCAGTTGTTTCAAGCGCGGGATGGGGCCCCCATGGGTGCCCGGCTGCCCTGAGAAAAATGGGGGCTGGCAAGCCCAAAGATAGAGAAAAGACACTCAAAAAGTGATCAATGGCTTTTCAATCCTTTGGTTTTTTTGACTATAAGTGGAAACCCACCCCACATGGTAAACTTCCATTGGAGGGTTGGTTGTTGATAGCCCCAAAATGATAAAATTGTTGGCTCCACTCCATGGACTCGTATGGACTCCATGGGTTCTGCAGGCCTTCGATCGAAGTGCTTTCTTGGATTTCAACGAGCTGATGGAGCGAAATCGCTGGTGCCCATGGGCCGTCTACGGTACTGTATCAGCTGACATTGCTGGGATCTGGCCATGACCTGCCAGGTGCAAATTGACCAAGAAATGGAAGTGTCCCTTTTGCTGGGCGCCCAGCTACGTTACCCGGATTTTTGAGCTTCAAATATGTTTTCTTTCGATTTCATCCCTGCCTTAGATGGTCATCTCCAATGATTCAGATTTGTTTAAAGTATTTTGAGTGACACTTGCGGCTCATACCCTCTGGTAAACTAACATAGCTGCTATGTCAGACATAGCTATTGAACATGGAGAATATATAGGTGGATTTACCATGATTTACCCATTGTTTCAATGGTGGATCTTTCCATCGTTTTTTCTAAACGTTTACCAGGCCGGGTCAGCTAAGAAGCGATGCTGCCGCTGGCAGAGTTCCAAGTCTTCTCAGGTGGCAAACACATCCGCAGTGCCAACGACTTGGTTCAGGCCACAGATCTCCAAGAGATGTCCCCTGGCGGCACCAATTTGAAACAACACGCAGAAATTCCATGGGATTGACCTATTTAGATCCATTTAGGGTATCTTTAACAGTAACAATATATATATATAATATAATAATAATGATAATAATAATAATTATTGTTATTATTAATATACATTATTATATTATATATATATTAATATATATATATATATATATTAATATATATATATATATTAATATATATATATTTATTTATTATTATTATTATAATATATATATATTATTACAATTATTATATATTCTTCTTCTTCTTCTTATTATTATAATATATATATATATGTATGAGGGGCGGCTGGGGTTACTCCTGTGATAAGAGGAGGATGTTCAATTTCTACGCCCCTTGGCAGCGATTTCTTTCCTTTCCGCCTAGGCTGGATGAAGTTAAGCTGACCCAGTCGGATGTGTTCCAATCTCAGCATCCCCAATGACTGGGCCCAAAATTCGCGACGGTTTTTGGACATATCCTGTATATTGAACCATGTTTGGACACACTGGGACCTCGCAAAGAGGTGATAGCTGCCGTATGTTCAAGTCATTTCTCAAAAGTTGGGCAACCAATCCACCGAAAAAGACAAGCACAAAATGCTGGAGATGGCGTATCTGCCTGCAGCATCGTCCATGCTCAGGAACTATGCAGTGCTCCATCCTGACGGGCAGTTGTCGCTGCCTTCCAGCAGCCAGCCCAATGTTTCGGAGCCGGTGGCAGCGGCAAGAACCTCAGTCAGGAGTTTTTTTTTACCTTGTGCCGGCCCAAGAGGATATTTTTTGATCAGCTAGATATATGTAGATATCATCATGAATGATATATGCACACAATTGCACACACATATATATATATATTATATTTAAAATATATGCATGTATAATATTTGCATATATAGTGATATATCCATATAGAACATATACATATGTCCATCCCAGACATGTATGTATATAGTATCTATATCAGATATTATGTATGAGTACATTTCTTTTGACGTGTTTTGTTTCTTATTTCCTACTTAATGTCTGAAAAACCGATCCCATGTGATGCCCCATCAATTGAGGTGGATACCTCTAGTGACGAAGAACCAAGCCAGCCACAAGTTTGTGACATGGCAGATGAAGACGGTATGCCGCAATGCCTTGCTTTCCTGTATTTTCCTGTAGTCGTTTTAGTCAACTTTAGTCGTTTCAACTGGGTTTCATTGCTTTCCGGGTAGATGACCTTTCTCATTTTTCGGACCTTCCCAAGGGGGCCAGGGTGTTGAGCAGCATGTGATCCACATTTCGTTTTCTCCTGTCAAGCCAGATTCATACTTTTCTGGCCTGCAAAGCCTTACCCATGAGCACACAGACATGGCAGATGAAGACCTCCTATTTAAATTTTGTGGATGCGGGTTGCGTCTTGAACATCGTTGCAACATTGTGATGTCACGTTGCTTACGCTGTTGTATCCATATTGATTGTAGTAGTAAATAGACAAGTTTGGTGGACTGACACTTTATTTTGGATCCTCGCAAGGCAACAGCTATGCTGGCACCGAAACGCCTCCCAAAGAGAGGCCCTGTAACGTGATTTGTGGCCCCCGCAATACCAATCCAAAAGGGAGCTAAACTCAGTTTCTTGATTTTTGTCATTTGACCCACTCCAAAATGGACGGTCTCCTGAAAGTTTGTGGGTCACTGGTTTGCTACACCTAGGATGAATTTTGCAATCTTTGGGAAATCCCTCATGAATGGACATATCATGATGGTGACCTGCGGTGTCCATCCCAGTACAAGTCACGACCCCTAGTAACTAGTAACCAAGCCATTTCAATCGAAAATTCCACACACACACATTCCACAAACATCTCCATTTGCAAGATGATGTTCTCCTAAATGGTAATTTGCCAAGTGCGTTCCATGATTTTCCGTTGCATCCTGTCCGTACCAGGCGCGAGGATGCTGCGGTTTCAGTGGCAGCCAGAAGAAGGTCGCCCAAAAAGACGGCCAGCAAAAAGGTGCCAATTTGCTGATGAAACTGCTGAGAAATCACCCGTTTTTGCTGGTGATTTAACAAACATTTAAGGTGAACGCCAAAAAGTGGCGTGGTGGTTTGCCTGGCTCATTTTACGGTGAAGCAACCCCACTTCGAACCTTAGAACTGTAACTATGATAAATAACTATCCAATGATGAGGATGGTTAGGAGGGTGCGCAGGAGTAATACAGGAGCTATGGGTATCAATCCCTATAAACCGGGATCAAACCGGGAACATCAAGATAAATAAGGAAGTTTTTTCCTACAATCGTAGGACATGGTCTCATCCCGAACATGCGCTAGGTGACATCAAAGAAGGAAAAGAAGGCTGCTCTGGCTGCTGCAAAAGCCATAGGCTCAGTTCGCCGAAGCTACAGTAGCAGCGACAAAAAGATGGACAGGTATATGCCAGGATACCTCTAATTTTGTTAAGTAATTAATATCATTAGTTGATCCGTGAATCACACCACTTCGAATCGGCATCGAAAGTCTGATCGCTTCGGCTGAGGCAGCTTGGGTTGAGCGGCAGCCGGGTTCCCAGAAATTGGATTGATTGCCCATCTAACCACCTATTGCCATTGTGAGCTTCAAAAGCGCGTTACATGGGATGCATTTGGCCAAATCGCAGCGAACTCAAAGAAGTCTCACCATATCTCAGCATAAACATTCATAAATAGCAAAGGGTCGACGAAATGGAACTTGAAGGAGCCAAGAACAAGCTGCAAAACTGGCGTTGCAACACTCAATCTTTGCGCATGATGGTTTTTTAATTGCCCGGTGTTTTGATTATTTTGTTCCACCCTTGCACGAGACGCGCTCGCATGAGGCAAGGCAGTATCCTCTCTTACTGCCCGGGACCTTAGATCAGATCTGGATCCCTTCAGTGTGATCAGAATCTGCGGCAACATATGAAGCCAAGTAAAGAGCTACCCTCTGGTAAACTAACATAGCTATTGAAAATGGCCATTGATAGTGAGTTTTCCCTTTTAACATGTTGATTTTCCATAGTTTTTTGTATGTTTACCAGGGGGAAAAATGTTGGAAGTGTGCTCTCCAAACAACCTCGAAAAACGACTGCCGAACCAGGAGGCCTTTCCCCACTGATCACAAGTGATTTATGGTGGCTGCAGGTCAGAAGCAGCAGAGTTGAAGACAGGCCATGATATCAGGATGAATGAGGATGTATGCCCTATGGATCCTATGGGAATCCACATGTGGACCACCCGGATCTCCTCCTATAGCTGAGCAAAAGCAGATTATGCCCAGAGAAAATCCCCGGCAGATCAGGAGTTGATTCTGGCCTTTCTCTACTCTCAGGTGCGCAAAACATGTTGGCATATTTTTGCAGAACTGCAATGTTGCCAAACCTTGAAGTGGCTTGAGCATCCGGCAAAAGTAAGCGTGTTTGGAAAACAGATCCATCTTTCAGCAAACAGTTGCTTGCAGTTGTGAGGGACTTTCCAGCCAGAACCGCTGTAGGAGTGTGGCTAATCTGCTTGGGGAAGAGCAGTACATCATTTGGGGACGGAGCGTGGGGAAAAAGCAGACCCCGTGGTGCCTTGCAGCAAAGGTTGGTGAGATCCTCTTCACATCCCTTCACTAACTTCTGTTTAGCTTGGGAACGTGCATCTCCCTAACAAATTTAGTGCCTGAGCATTCACCACTGGACAATGAGTGCTGGTTTGTGATTGGAATTTGCGATGACAAGAAACCTGATCAGCATGATTTTGCATCAGCAGACATGCTACATGTCACACATGCCAACTGAACATGTGCCCATCCCCGCATCTTTGGCTAAAGCCCCATCCAAAATAGACCTCGACGCCGCGGGCGCAGCCGGCGCAGCTGCGATGGCGAGAACGGCACAGGGCCTGAGGTTAGCGGCACTTTGCCAATGCCTCGTTTTGGCATGGATGGCTCCCCAGAGGATGACCTTCCTTGCACCGGCCACTGGCTTGGGCTCTGCCAGCTCCATTGGAAGGGCGCCAAAGGTGGCTCGGCAATTCAAGAATGCGCCCCCAGAAGAGGAAAAGAGCAAGGATGCCTTGGAAGATGTGTGGCGATACATTGGTGGATGGTATGAGATCAAGAAGAGTGAAGATAAACTCTACTTCAGGGAGAACAACCTTCAAGGAGAGCTAGTGGCCCAGGATGACTGGCTTGTAGCGGAGCTCGCCCCTGCCGGCACCATCCGGCTCAAGCTCGGCCCTTCAGGAAGGGAGGTTTTGTCCAACTTCAAGCCAGCAGATACAGACACCTGGGGTGACACCATCACAGCTCTTAGGGAATGGGAATCTTTGACCGAAAGAACCGATGCCCTGAAAGGCACCTTGAGTGGTGCCACCTTCGATGGCACCGTGGATGGTGTCACCGTGACCGTGGATGGTCGTCAGCGCCCCGTGAATCTTCAGATCTCCGAGGCGTCGATGGATGGAGCCAAGCTCGGCCAATTGATCAAGGAGGCACATAGCGAGGCGGTGGGAAGATCTATGGAGGCCATGACGGAGAACCTGCAGGAACTCTACGCCTCCCACTTCTCCGCCAAAAAATAGGCGCCATCAGCCAGTAGAAACACGGGAAACACCCCCGGAGATTCCTCCGGAACATTGGCACCCAAAAAGGGTCAAAAAAGTGAGGGGCGTTCGTTTCTAATGTCGATTGATGCAAGTCCCATGTGAAATCAAACTAGGCTTGTTGGTGGATTTTTTTGGTGTAATTATCAGAGTTCATTGCAACGCAGAGAGCTTGCTTGATCTTGCATGGCTCCGCAGCACCTTTTTTACCGACAGTGCAGGATGCAGGTAACATTGTTGGAGACTTGCTGGCAAATTGAGCTAAGCAACAAGAACGAGGTAAATGAAATGATGCCAAAGTGCGTCGGAACACAAAGTCACGCAGCTAGCTCTAAGAAAAGCCCCAGTCTAGGTGCATCGTTTGTCTCGGGCCGCGGCTTTTAGCGAGATGTGATTCAGCGGTTTTGTGCTGCTTGAGCTGGGTCCTTAGCAGCCAATGGGACACATTCAACCCTTGGGTGCATATCTTGCCGTTGCAAGCAATCAGGAATGTGCCAAGAGGATCGTGTGATCACTATAGTGATCTTTGGGTCGCACCAAAACATCAAAAAAGACAACATGTATCAAAATGTATATATCACGACAATTTCTTGGCAAGGTGGAGGATCATATATGGATCATATAGGATCCATCGTTACGCTGGGGTTTTCTAGGGCCTAGGGGTTTTTCCTATCCAAACCCACCAGCTTCCTGCCGAGGACGAGATGTCCGTGCCAAGTCTGGAAGATCTTTTGGCCAAAGGCTCAGGATCAGGCAGAATTGGTCTGAAGCAAAACTTTGGACACAAGAAAAAGCCACCAGAAATTTGGATGGTGAGGAACAATATGTCAACAATTGTATGATATTATATGTATATATATATATTTATACATATGGGAAGAACAATGGTTTCCGCTACTTTTGCCTTACAAACTTCGAGCAACTCAGGGATTTGGGGATCGAGTGACATGAAATCACGCCAGGGGAATCGATCCGTGTGCCCTCCGCTGCCCCCATCACTTGGCTGGAAAACCCAGTGGCCAAGGCCGAATTGGATCGGCAAGAGGAGCTGGATGCGATTGAGGAACAACCTGAGGCAGCCTGTTGCACAAGCTGACGGATCTTTAGATGTTGAAAGAGATGCAGACATGTGGAACAAGAATATGTTGTGAATCATAATATATACATATAGAGTGCTGTACAGTATATCAATGTAAGTACGGTGATCAGTGATGAGGTCGTCATATGATATTTCTCATCATGGCTCTCATGTAACTGTGACAAGAGCACCCTGCTTATAGGTTTCAATACCTGCCAACTAGCGCAGAATTTCCGCTACTGCACTGCATAGAATTGCGAGTTCATGTGTGCCAAGTGCCAGGTCCCAGATCGAGCCGAAGTTCAGGAAAAAAGCCATCCGGATCAGATCCAACAGCCTGAACAGCAACAGCAACAGCATGAACAGGAAGGAGGCAGTTCTGCTAGTCCATGCCTCATCCCGCCATCAACTTGGACGCATGATGTTTGGAAGGGCTCATCTCAGCTAGCCCAGGCGCTGCCGTGAGAACAAGGCAGGGAGCCCGAATGCACTTGCCGACACTCAATAGACTGAACTGTACAGCACCCTCCTCGCATCTGGGTGCGATCCTTCGATTGATTATAAAACAGATACACACACAATCACACACACACACATAATCATACACATATGATATATATATATATAATTATATATATACATATTATTACTGTATATATGTTTATTATTATACACGCATACTTATTTATTTAACCATAAGGTGATTTATGGGACTTTGAAGTGCATCAAAGGCGATTTTGATTTGTATATTCCAAATCTGGGACTTTCCCGCTGTTATCACTTCATCCAAGCACTGTTCGGGGGTTCCAAGCAAGCGCGAGGAGGGGCGGGCGCTTCTCCGATTTGCTTGGCTCCAGTAGCGTCAAACCGTCGGGGCCCAAGAGTTTCCATCGTTATATTTGAAGGGACAGGTTGAAGGTTGAAACTGCTGAGTGCTTTTTGAATGTTTCACTCCAGTGTTGAAGCTACCAGCCAGAGGTACATGCTAAAATCATAATTACATCCAATATTTGAGATCGAAATATACCGCCATTACACAAACATGCACATATTTGCATTATTTGCAGTATACAGTGCACACACACACATGCACACTATGGCAAACACGTCCCATCATATCCCTTTGTTCTGTTAGCTTAAAATCCCCCTATCATATCCCTTTGTTCTGTTAGCTTAAATCCCCCTTCATATCCTCGTGTCCGAAGCCAGGTCAGCGGCTATGCCGGCGATGTCCCGCGACGATGGCGATGCCTCTACGCGCGACGATGAGCGTAGCACAGGAACGGGCCAAGTGATGCAGGAGCCATGCTGGTGATGGGGTGGATTATGGGATTGGGTTGGCGGTCCAGAAATGATGAGCATTGATGATGGTGCTCATATGAAGACGGGAAAACGAGACAACAAAATGGGATCAAATGGTTTAGGAGTTAGTTTGGATATTCGAATCATTGGAGATGTTGCTATTCCTGTCCACTGGGATTATTGTGTAATGTAACGTGGTGGTTGTTGTCATTTTTCTGATGGCGCGTGGTGAATCATGGAGTCGGAATCGATGTACATGTCGCCTTCTAATTTTAAATTGGATGTTTAGGGGCCACCCAAAAGATGGAAATGTGTTTCCAGGATGTTATAGATGATGTTTCCCGCATCATTTTCAGGTTTCTAAGTTGTTTGTTTCAAATTGAAGGTTGCGGTGCTGCAATTACTTGTCATTTTGTGACATCTAGTGACATCTTGTGACTATGATATCTACCCTCTGGTAATTTAACATAGCTATTGAAAATCACCATTTTTAATGGGAAATTCCACTATTAATGGCCATTTTCAATAGCTACGTTAAATTACCAGAGGGTAACACCTTCCCATGATCCCTGGTCCCACTAGGAAGGTCCAGGATTCGCCATGTTCCCCAGGAACATCACAGCTCCAGCTCGGAGGCGAACGGTTCCAGGGTTGGAAAGGAAAATTTTGTGACCGGCGAAACAGTTCCGTTTTTTCTGGGGCTCACGTGTTTTGTTATTGTCATTATATATAATATATATATATATATTTAATATAATATATATATATATATATATCTTGGGAATTATATACAACAACGTTTCTCAAAATCCTTTTCGAAGCGAGGGGTTGAAGTTTTTCTGTCGTATTTTGACCCCGCGTTACTCCATTTTCTGAATTTCACCCAAAAAGAAATGGCGGAGACGGAGAAGTTTGGACAAAAGCAGTGTTTTTATTTTACATGATTCGTTGCTGCAAAGCTGTTTGCTCAAATACGCCACGCCAATTTTGTCGTTTTGCGATCAGGAAGCCGAGGGCTTGTTACGGGTGACGGTGCTGGCCTGAATTGGGAACAGATGTCTCAGAGGTGTGCGACCAGAAGAACAAAGCTCTCTCTTTAAGATCGAACTAAGGAATCAGTTGTTCAGTTGCCAAGGAGCTTCAGCAGCTGGACGAGGTAGATCCTGAACGTCAACGTGCGCAGGCGAGAGGATCGCAGGTGGTACTGGGAAATCCCGGAACATCGGAACTCAATGGACGTTTATAGCTGGGAAATGCTGGGAAATGCTGGTAAAATCATCAAATGAAATGGGGATTTTTCATTGCCGGTACTGTTTTCAGGGGGGATCCTGTTGCCCAAAGGATCCAAAGGATCCAAAGGCAAAAGACGACTCAGCAGACAGCTGGCAGAAAGCTGTGGAGATGGCGATGGAGAGAGAGAGTGGAAAGCGAAAACAATACAGTCCTGAGCAACCCGAAAAAGAAGATCAATCAATCTTGGGGGCACACAAGAAGATCCCACCTATTTTTGGAAGCAACATGAACCAACAAAATCACGCAAAGCAAACCCGAAATAAGGATGGCTACTTGAAGGCCATTCAGATTTCTGGTGGTGCTAAGCTGCGGAGTATTGCCATTCGCAGAGGTCCCCCGCAAAAATTAGGCAAATTAGGCAAAAAAAATGCTGCCTCATCCTGCCAACCATTCTCGAGTGTGTGAATCACCATTCAAAAATATTCAATGGGTAAATCAGGTAAATCCACTATTTCTATGGCCATTTTCACAATGAGTTGCGCAAAACTCCTACCTTTCCCAAAGCAACTCGTCCTCATTTGCCAAGTTTGATCCATTAAACCCCTCGAAGGTCGAAGCGGCTGCCTTTGAGGAACGGCAAAGGTGCCATTGCATGGTTCTTTGGGGTATGTAGATCGTACTAGATCATGGCTTTGTTTGAAAAGCGGGTGAAACAAAAATGGAACCCAAAAAAGCCCGATGGAATATCATGGAATATCACCATTAAATACCAATATGTCATATAATGTCATATAGAATCATCTATATATACATATATATATAGGTGTTAAAACATGTTAAAACTGTCTTCTATTCAGGTGTAAACGGAACCTCAGGACCTCTTGCGACGCTTTATTCGATCCAGGAAGGCGAAGGAAGAAGCGGAAGAACAGGCCAAAGAGGTGGCTGATTTTTTTCGGGGCTCCGTTGAAGTCGACCACAGCATTTCCAGATTGCACATCTAAAAAAACAAATCCGAGAACCACATATCATGTGTGTATGCTGTGTATATGTTACCAGTTACAAGGTAAGTTACAAGTACCAAATCTTTCGTGAATCCTGAAACAGATGATACCATATGAAATCCTTTCCATCAATAAATCTTCAAGGTTAGCGGCGCCTGTCCGCGGCAGGACGAGCGTCGCCGGGTGGAAGCCGCTCGAGAAGCGTCGGGGGAGCCAAGCTTGGCGAAAAGTGGCTGTGGAATGCGAAAGGTTTTCCATGGTTTTACTGTATATAAACAGTTTGTTTCCCATTGTTTCCCCCCATTGGGGTCTTTTGTTTCGCCACTTCTGTCAAGTGTAAACAGGTGATGTCTGGAGTGGTAGTGTGAGGAAAATTGAGGAAGCCTGTTTTCCAACAATAGTATTTAGACCGCTGACGGGACTCCTAAGTGCAAACGAGATGGCTATAGACTATAGACTATATAGATCGATCTATATAATAGACCATATTTTTCTGGATTCTGGAGTGAGCCCCCAAAACCTGACCTATGCTGTCCTAGAATTGTGCCATGTGAAAATTGTCCTTTAGCTCACTACGCTCACTTACGATGATTCAACCCCCAAATCATCCACGTCATTGGACAATTTTGGCATTGAAAGCCATGGTTAAGATGGGATTCCCATCTTAGGACCCCCCATGTGTTAAAGCACTAAGTCACCTTGGAAAGTAGCACCTCTCGGAGGTGGGAACGCCATCGCATGGCCGCAGAAGAGGCAGAGGCGGAGTCGGAAACCATCGGAATGACACATTTGGAAGCTTCCTCTACAGTATATATATATACCTTGAGAACCAAAACCCGCAGAAATCTTAGGGTTTGAAAAATACCCGAGCTTTTCTGACAAAACCCGGGGTATTTTAGCCCATTCTGAAAGTACGGGTTAGGTACGGGTTAGGTACGGGTTAGGTACGGGTTAGGTACGGGTTAGTATACGGGTTAAGTACGGGTTAGGTAAGTACGGGTTCAAAATCAATACCCGAGGTCTTCAATCGAAAACCGAGGTTTTCTTATTTTTTCCAAAATACCTCAGGTTCTTGCGTTGACCCGAAGAATTCTTAGGGTTTTGGTTCTCCAGGTATATATAGTTTATTTAATTACTTTGTGAAAAGATTGCAGGAAAGATGGGAAACTTCATGTTCACATAATGTAGTTAAAACAATCATTAAAACCAACCATGACTGGGAATGGGGAAAATACCACCTATATAGGTGATTTGGGGGGTGGTTTATGATTGTTTTACCCACATCCATGGGGAGTGCGGAAAGTGTAGGCCATGTTTTGTTCGTGCTGCGTGCTCCAGGAAAGACGCTTACGCGCCAACCGCCCAGCACTCAGAAGATCCCTGCGAGAGTCCAACAGTTCGCTGTCGTGCCTAGGGTTTCTATCCTGAATGGTTATATAATTCATCCAAAACGCAGCCAAGACAAAACATAGCAAGCTGTTAAATGACCGGAGGGTATCCAACTAAACATATATATATACCTTAAGCTTCAATACACGCAAAATTCCTAGGGTGTAACCATTTACCCATACTTTCCAGGGGAAACCCGATGTTTCCAAAATGCACCAAAATTGAACATCTACAATATGTTTAAAGATCCACTTATACTTGAAGTTGAAACCAGCTGTTGCTGTCTGGTTCATTTTCGCCCGCTGCATGTGACTTCTTGGGGGTGAACAACGCGTTCCTGGGGCCAGTGCCTGGGCCTGAGCTCACATCCGCACTGCCAAAGACAGGATAAATATATCAAATCATGGCATATATTGCGTAAGAATATGTAAGAACCGCTGTAAACAATTTACATAGGAAATCAAATTTATGACCGGTATAATGTTCATGTTGCATTGATCATCGTTTGGCTTTTCTGCGAATGTACCCATACCTAATCCATTGGTGGTAGGCACCTTTTAGGTACCTTTGAATCACCCTGCGAACTTGTAATCGTCCTACCTTTGTCCTGCGTGCAAGCCGACTTGGCCTGCCCACAAAATCTTCGTCACACTGCGTGCTCCACGCCAAAGGGTTCATAAAAAACTGAGCAGATTGGTTTTCCAAAGAAGTCAAAAGGGCCATCATGAGGTGATGGAACGCATGCCCTTTGGGCTGTATGATGTACAATGCCCTGTTTTCTTGCATGCGAAGATCAGCCAAAGAATCATAGCGTCTCAAGAATCTAAGTCCCAGGTTTGCAATCAGCAAAGCATCAGTGCGAGTAAGAAAGAGCGGACGTGAGTAGCAGATGCGAAGGCATTCGTTCACTGCAGCAGCAGCTTCAAATGATAATTTGAGAAGCGGTTGGTCACTAAAGTCATGATTTCTGAAATTGTTTTCCACAAAAAACATCAAACTTGCAGTGAGATCTCCCTTGCTCCAGGCCCCCACAGGATATACTGTTGTCTTTGGCCAAGTAATTGTCTCCTTGCTCAACTTCTTCAGGTGAGCATTGCGTTTTGCAACTCGACACCAAGTAAAATATGATTGACTCAAATTCTCAAACCTTTCATCCACATTGTTCCCTTCTTGGATTTCTGACAGTAATGCCAAGTATGATCCCAGAAACTGACGCCCAACACCGAGGTGGTAGCAATGGAACATATCAAACTTCCAAAGTTCTGCGAGCTTTTCAGTATCATGAGGAATGACTTGAAAAGGCGAAGGGATGCTGAAAGGTGATTGTTCGTTCAAAGTGGACATCCATAGTGGTCGACGAGTACCAATTTGTTCATAGGGGATATCAATCTGTCCTGCGCGACATAGATGACACACCCCTGCTGGGGGAGTGCGAACAGTCAGCCGTTTCTGAACATGATTGAAGGTCCTATTCAGATTGCCACTTTTTTGGAGCCATGGCCAATCACCGCAAATGCCCAGCATCATGCAACGATAGGTTTTTCCAGAGTGTGGATCTTTGACGCCTGTAGTTGCCAAGAATTCAGCTTCTTCTGCAGCAGCTTTCATAAGAGCATCGAACACATCTTCTCTCTCACCAGTATACCAGTGTTTTGGCATACATCCAAAAAGAAAGCGGTTTGTAAAGGTGTGACCTCGAAAAGACAAATTGTGTCGCACATAGCGGGGCTTGATTCCACGCTTTTTTTCCCATCGTCTTTGCGGGTTCGTTCCTCTACCCAACAGCCCGTGAAAATTTACGACCATGAATGCTTGTCGCTTGGCCCCTCGGCCCTCATCACCATGACATACAATTGGAACTGTAGTTGCAAGATCTACTTCCCCACGCGCAGCCATGCTATATATAGGATGAGTTGGGTTTTGGTGGCGAAATCGCGACCAAAAAGAACTTAATATAGCAGACTCTCGATTTGCATCAGGAGCCATCAGCCCACACATCATGTGAAAACAGTTGTGTTCCAGAATGTAAGCCATCCAATCACGCAGGCGTAGGATTTGCATATCAATTTCTGTTGTGTTCACCTCCAGCTTTGTCATTGGGATTGGCAGGCCCAGCCCAAAGGAATCCAACACTCGATGAGAATCCCTCTCTGAATTTTTTTCGTTACATCGGGCGATATTCAGCAAACCCGAAGACTTTTTTGCTGCCTCCACTCCAATGTCAGCAATCACACCACGGGCCGACCTGATCGTAGATCTACAAGTGGCCTCAGCGACGCGATAGCAGAACGTGATAAATACATATAAATACTACTGCGTGTAAATGCTTTCATATTCAATGCGATGGTTTGCATGTTATTTGTACGGGGCTTGCGTTTGAGTTGACCCGCTCATATATGGGTCAAGATCCAACCGCTCTCTTGAGATGGAATTGTCAACTTTATGTTTGAGCAACTGTAGTCAGTGACAATCCTGTGAACACAAATCATTCCTTTTTCTTGCCCAATCGCTTGCTTTCAGCAGTCATGGATCTGGCAACCCTAAAGACCTAAACTGCAGCCAAAGGTTTTTGATACCCCAGTGGCTTGATCGGTGGTGGAAATTGGAATGACCTGTACACGATATAGGTCATGTACAAAGCTATGCCCGAGGTCGAGTGGTCCTTGACTGTGTCCCCGCCGAGCTTGACATTCCGACATCCAGGCTCGCCTCAATGGGAGATGTGGCAATCACCAACAAAGAACAGCACTAGTCTAACTTATCACTTTTAAATTGTTACAGGGATTGGCTAACAAAAAAAAACTGCTGACTGTAAATCGTGCAGGTGAGTCACTGCCAAATTTCTCAATCAAAGCTGCCTCCAACATAGCTGGGGAATATGGCTCTTGTGACATGTATATCACCACCATGTTGCTCCACCGGTCTTTCGAGCTAGAGTAGCCATACACAGAGTTGGACCATCGCCAAGAAGGGCTATGCGTGAATCCCACTTTGAAAATCATAGGGGAATGCGCCTTGAATAGCCTTTCAACTGTCAAGACTGAATGCCGCAGAACCTTGCCGGCAGGTACTTCGATCTGTGGAAGATCAAAAGAGATGCACTGCAAAGCCTTGCTCTCAGCCAGCTCTTGAGCAAAGTGTGGAAAACATCGTTGGTAATCATCCAACATTGCAGTAAAACGATCCCTTCGTTGAAGGGCATTTTTCTTCTCATCCAGTCCAGAAGTTTCACTTACATCTTGAACAGCAGTGTGAGTAGGCAATGGTTTGCCACCGCTATCAATGTCAGCAGCACCGTGTTTTTTCCATGGGAATGGAGCCGCATGATCCTTACATCCCAGGACATGTTGGAGGGAAACCAAATAGAAAAATATAGAAAATATGTTTACCCTTGATTCGATTTGTGTTTGCGTTGTGGTTGGTGCCCAAAAAAACATACCTGGGCAAAGCGAGTTTCTGAACGGTGAGAAGTCAAGAGTTCCAGCAGCCAATCTTCAGGACTATCTTCACGTTCCATGTTTGCTAGATGCATGCAACATGCCTCAAAGCATCCCCAAAAACTTAAAGCCAAAATGATAGCGATCATGAGCAACAGCAACTTGATAGCAAGACAGAGAAATCCTGGCAACCCAAGTTGAGGGACCGGGCCCCTTGGCTAATCTCTTGGCTTGCTCCAGTAAGCGCATTTCCTGGCTCACCTGGCATTTGTTTGCGAGGGCTCCACCACATGATTATGAATCACCATGTATACACATAGGTTCACTCACCGGCTTCATGGTCTGAAATTCTTTCTATTCATATGAGCCGTAATTATGTCAGCATTATATTTAACACAGAAAAGGTGACTGTTATGTATGGACTGTTTTGTTCAGCTGCTTCACCGGCCCCACCGGTGTTCTTCCGAGGTCGCTGCAAGATGGATGCCACTTCAGGCACTTTGGGCTGCGGCAAATGCCACGGGCTCACACAAACTAAGATAATTCCCATGAGCGCCACTCACACATGGCATTCCCATACTGAAGAGCTGATAAAACTGTTGGGTATCAATTGGGAGAAAGAATTCGGCATAGAGTCTTGGTAAACCAATCAAACTGCCAAGCGTTCTATGTGGCACATCATGATACCGGCATGATCTTATTGATCAACTATGGTGACAAAAGTCAAACCCGCATGGAGAGATTCTACTTGGCCTTTTTGGCCTTCTTATTGGGCTTACCATCACCGTTGTCAGCGTCATCGTTCTTGCTCTTCTTGTCCTTTTTGTCCTTCTTCGTATCTGCCTTTTCAGTCTTACGCTTTCTGGTCTGGTCTCCCTTCGATTCCTTGTTCTCATCATCCTTGGAATCCTTCTTGGCCTTCTTGGTCGGCTTGTCCGGTTCCGATTTCGTCCAGAACTTCTTGAAGTTCCTGATGCTAGCTGCATTAAAAAGAAAATGACTTGAGTATAGGGGCTTTTCCCGTGATTGATCACCCGTATGTTGATTCTGACATATCAAAAATCATCAAACAGTAGAGTGACCTAAGATACACATCTATACAGGAGTTGAGATGAGTCAGCGCATGCACCCGTTGTGTGGCAGGCCAATGTTACTGCCAGTCCTCGCTTTCATCTCCGCAGCCGCCGCCTTGGAACACCTGGGCAGTGGAGTGCAAAGTCTTTAGGATTTAAAGTTCTGAAGTCCCCAGCAAGAAAGGTAAGGATAGGACTGAAGGTTTGCTTCCTTCATTCGCTCCTCAGCCATGGTCCACCACCTAAGTTCAGATCTTGATGGATAAAAGATGATAAAAGTATTGACTAGTGACTGATGGTTTTGAAGATGCTCAACCCACATCAAAGGGGATATGTTTTTCAATTGTAGATGGATACAGGGGTGGCTGACAAGGCGCTTTTCTCCAGTGAATTTCTCAGACTCACCAACGCACCACACCTCTTGGCACTTGTCGTACTGACTGTCCATGTTCTTTGCGTGG